CAAATCCAAGTTTATGACATTACTGCAAACTTGTGGCCTTGAGAATGAACTACCAGTTGATTTTGATACTGAAGTGAATATGGCGTCTGCTGAAATGACACCAGCCCCCACAACTCAACGTATGCATTACAGTTATGCTGATTACCTCATAGAACAATTATTAGCTCAAGCCAGCAATCTTACAGATACTGATGATGAAAGTTTATGTACCAATGATGAAAATGATATGAACTATAATAATGTAGATAGTCATTATGGAACAAACAATAACTTAGTGTCTCGACAACTGGATAATGCTCGAAAACTTTCTATGTTACGTGAAGTGAATATTCGTGTCTCACAAACTCTATCTGAAATAACCACATCTGAGAATAGCCGTGTGACTTCAAGCTCATCATCTGATGGATACCCACAAACAACCACTGATGAATCATCTAGCAATTCGAATTCGCATCACCATGCTGATCACGTAGTGCCAGATTTAGATTTAGAAAAAGAACTTGTTTCACGTCTTCATTACTATTCAGACTTTACTGTAGATCGTCAACGTAAGATAAACACTCTAACCACAAACATTATTAATGCTTCATTACGAGAAAGAAGTAATGCTGTCAACCGTCTTGATATCAGTGAGTGTCCCGCTATATCGGAACGTCATGTTGAGGGTTGTGAAGATGGTGATAGCTCCAGATCCAGACACATTGTTGGTTCAGCTTCAAACTCATCTGGTGCCAGCACCCTGAGAAAATCAAAGAACAAATCTTCTTCTAGAAACAGCAGTCATCCATTAGCTTCATCCACTATGAGTGAAAGCAAGTCTTCTTCATCTGCATCATCCAGAAGTTCACGAAGCAGCAAGAGTTCTCGCAGTTCCAGAAGTAGTTCAAGAAGCAGCAGTCGTAGTAATTCCCACCCTTTGGCTTCATCTACTATGTTATGTGACCCCTCTACCAATATCTATCCAAGCAGTACCAATTCTGAAAGTGTCTACACTTGGTCCTTAGACGAGAACTCTGACCGTGTCAACTTAGAAGAATCCTATTTACGCAGCAGGAAACGATGTCACAGAAACAACATTTCTCGTCATTCACGACCCATTTCCAGAAATCGCAAGTTGGAAACCGTCTCTGCCCTCAACATTAGTCACATGGTCTCAGCTATTGATGCTTCTACTGTTTCCAGAAAGGATAACATTTCCGATAGTTTTTGTGAAGAACCCGATCTTGGATACAAATCTCAAACCTTACCAAGAACAAGTACCCGTGCCTGTTTATTATTTGACCATAAATCTAGTGGAAGTTCAGGATCACCCATTAAAACTTCATCAATGCCAAACATTAGTGATAAACTTGTCAATGATGTACCTGTTCAACAGTCCAGATCTAATGAATTGCTGGGTTCTCCTTTACATGAAAGACTTGAGTTACCTGGTAAATCTAGTACCACCAGTGAAAGTCAAGAAAGCGCTGGTTTGGATGTACACCCTGCCTCAGCTACCCAGTTTTTAGCTAGCACTATTTATAATGACTCTACCCGTGTTACTGAATTTTCAACAGAAGATAGTTCCTTATTAGACTCTATTTTAACTGATAGTCCCAAAAGTGTTGACAGCAGTGGAATATTTGCTCCTTACAATTCAGATGCTACTGGTTCCCGAGGATATACAACCAGCAGTGTACCATCATCTGATGGTGGACATAGAGCACCCCCACCAACACCACCAACCATCAAGGCACCTACTACTGCTCAACCCATCTTCAAAGTTCCCTTCAGTCCAGCAATTAGAGCAAGATCTCAATCTCGATCACGACAGTCCAGTAATAAAGATTTGAGAACCTCTACACCATTACCAAGTTCTGATGAATCTTCCCAGAGTGAGCCATTGAGACGCCAGTTGTTTTCACCCCTTGCCAACAGCACACAGATAGAACCCAAGAAGTTGGACAAAAGAGCTCTAGTGAAGAAATTTAAGAAGTTCAGTCATAGTTTTTATAAGAAAGATAAGAATGGACAGTCTCAGATCCAGACCTTGGCTAACTTATAAGATGTTTGTGATACTATAATTGTGACAGGAAGACACTAAAGCATGTGATTTTTTGTAAACAATTGCTCATTTTTAAAAAAAATAATCAAATTATTATGAACTCAGGTTGTGAATTTACAGGGAAAGACTCATGTAACAAAGCTTGATGCTAACTGCCAAGGCAATATATTTTCTGTATGTATGTTTTATCCCATTTTCCTGTAGATAACAGGCAATTTTATGTGTGCAATACATGACTGCCAATTATGTCTATAGTTTCCATACTTTTCCTAATCTTATCTATCCTTCTTTTACTATATGTAAATATGTAAATAACTATTGTTATTGTATAAATGTAAATATTTTTTGTTAATATGAATATAAATTATTTTTGTTTATGATTATATATACAGTGCTATATAATGCTGACTAATGGAAAAAGATATTTTTCTAGTCAAATAAAGCTTAATTCAAAATATATATTGTCTATTTATTTCAATTATCAAACATGGTGGATACTATCATTGATGCTGACTACACACAATTTAAAAGTTGAATGATGCCAAGTTAACAAACGTCATCTTATACTTTAGACAAGATTAATGTCTTGCTTGTACAAATTCTTAATCTAAATAATATTCCAGAATTTGTCTGCTTGCTTGGAAGCTTTTGAGTGAGATTGTATTTCACTGGATTATCTTCATGTACAATAAGAACTATTTTAGCCTGGAAAAATGGCCAATGACTGGGCTTACATCAAAGCAAGAAGAAGGCCAAAGTGGGAAGGCTTCTCATTTCAAAATCAAGACAGTACACTAAAAAATGAGTTTACATTTGAGTGCCAAATGCTGGTTCTCAGCTTGCTGTAGATAATAAGTCTACCCATATGTGTTTATTAACATATCTCTAATCGCACTCCATTAATCAGTTTCATGTTCAACTTTGAATCCTGTCTGTCAGATCTTTTGACCTTTATCAATGTCACAAATAATTTATCAAAAATACCTGTTGACAGCCCTATTGAATGTCTGACTAAATATTGGTCATGTGACAAGATGGGAGTGACACTCATGTTGATTGACAGTTATTATCATGCCTAATCCGTGATAAACGCCTGCTAAAAGTTTTAATATGTGGCTAGATAATAATGATAATTTACTTAATGAAGGATTGCTGAGTCAATATTTACTAGATACTTCTAGAGCCAAATGATAAAAATTTAACTCAAACCCATTAGATGTATATCAATATCAGCTATATGTAAGCTATCATATGTAACAAACTTAAATCATCAATGTTAACTGGATTTGAATTAAAGTGGGGGCTTTGTTAATATCTTCTTAACAAATTTACAAAATACACAATGGATATGTTTCACTAATTCCACATAATATACTTTAAATATAAACTTCATAATACACTTAAGATATCTAGGCATTAAAACTGGTCTAGTTAATCCTCACTAAAATCTTCTATAATAACAACATTTCAAAATGATACTATCTGCTCAAGTTGGAATTTTCATCCATTTCAATACAATATTTCTATTTTGAAGGATATGTTACAATTTGCATGAAAAATAATCCCTTTGTTTACCAACGAATCTATACACAAACCAAAAATTTTTCACTTGGGGTCCTGATTACTCTTTGGTAGCATAAAATCCTCCCTTCGCTAATACCAACAAAAAAATAAAGTACAAACCTAAACAAAATCCAAATATCTCAACTGAAAGCAACTCAGCAAAACTTTTTTTCTTTTAAGTTGCAGAGCTCACTGACCTTTTAGATAGTGATTTGATGATGTCATAATATTTCAACAAATCAAAACCACCATACAAGTCAGCAATGTTTTAAAATATCTCAGGTATATTTGCTTTGAGAATTCATAAATAATTGCAAGAATTAAATATCATCTGTAAAATTAATGGCAAAAATAAGTTAGCTCCCTTGAAGCAAGAAAACCGTTGTTGTCCCAAAACACAGTTATTTCCCGTTTTTCCACACATTTCCTATTTAACATTTTGGCTGTAAGCCATGATACAAAAATTCACTTTTCAATGCCAAAGCTCAAAAAGACCAACTGCAGCACCTTCCAGAAAATTATATGATGCATATCATATTCTGATCTACATAGAAATATATTATTTGGAGTTTTGGGTATATGATTGGTGCTGGTAAGATATATTGGTTAATCAATGTATCACCATACGACATGCCACAATACAATTATTGTATCACGAGGTTGTGTGTGGGGGTTTTTATAAGTTGTTGAATGAAATCACAATTTTTGTTAACTGACTTGACTGAAAGTTGTTGGAAATTATTTATATGACTGTGGAAGTTATCCACTTCTATCAACAATGTTACCAAATATCACAGTTATAAATTGATATATTATATTTGAAGATAAATTTTTTTATTCTATTGCCCCATATATATATCGTATAGTGACTCATATCGTATTTTTCCATGATTGGCAATACCCAGCACTTTATGTGATCATGTACAACCAGTGTTGCAACGGTTAGGAAAAAATACACATTAATCATTAATCAACAGATATATCTTTTGATGAAACTCCTGAAATTATAAGTATTAGTAAACCTGTGATCCCATACTATATGACTATTCACACTATTCACTAGTGTACCTCCCCACCTCCCTCCTCCCTCCTCTCACCGCCCAAATCTAATCAAAACTAGATAAAAATTACTTGAAAGACCTGTTATAAGAAACCAGGACAAATTGTAGGACAGTGAGTGCTGAAGTAGGGTAATTTGAAAACCTGAACCACAATGCAGCCTTGTTATCAAGAACAGGTCCTACATCTTATGCATGGATTGCTTTAAAAATGGAATTAGAAAAGGAATTAAATAGAAAACTGGTTAGATTACTATGGAGACAACAAATAAAAAATAAATAATATCTTATTTTAATTAGATTCAGGGTACCCCCACTATCTACGTTATACTTACATCCATTAAAAATTTGTCATATCTTTTTAATAATTTTTCATGTTTGACTGGATTGTCTGCCATATTGCAGATTTCTAACAACATCTCACGTTTAAATTTCATAGCTAGTTGAGAATTTAACTGAGCTTCACTGGTCTGAAAAAAATATTTCATTTTAAAAATCAACTTGACAAGTTCTCAGGGACAGTTTCAAGGAATTCTGAAAACCAAGTGCTTGTGACAAGTCAATAAGAACAGATATTTTGCAACCTGTTAAAATCAGGCTGTCCTGATGAATAACTGTATATCTGAAACACTCATCCATTGTTGTCACATTCAAAATTCAAGTAGTACTTTGATTCAAATTTATCTATATCACCTATTATATAATGCCGGTTAAAGGTACATGATACTGATTCGTTTTTTTTAGGTTCTGTTTTAATATTTCTATATCGCTCTACAATTGTTGCATTGAGCTCTATTTTAACAGTGCAAATATTTTATTATTATTGTATAATGACCATACACAAATTGTTTTTTTAAAGCTTAGCTTAATTCCAAATATTTTCAGCCACAAATTCCCCACCCCCACCTCATCTTTTACCTAATGTTTCATAGAAATGCCAATACTTCTTTAATATCAAATTCAAATATCAAATGTTCGACAAATATATATAATACCTTCAATATATAATTATCAAAACCAAAATTTTCATCTATTAAATTTAATGTCCTCATTGTTACTGTCACTAAGTAAAATTTGTTGAATATTTCACTATATAATGGTTTTTTCACTAATAATGGTTTCCAGATTTTAGGTACCCTGAAATAGAAACTTGAGTTTTACACCCTACTCAACTTTGCTGTATTTGTGCGTATGAAATGTGTAATGGATTGCACAAAAAGTGAATTTATATTAACACAATTCATGGGATAAAATGTATGTCTTTTTTTCCAGAAGCAGAAAATGAAGACAGGCAACACCATGTTATGTGCTATGAGGGACGTTTCCATGACAACATTATCATTCTACTTTTTCAATTTGAAATTCAAATATTCCATATCAGTTCTGTTCCTAACCAATTCCTTGGTATGATATTGGCACAGGTAGGGGGGAGGGAGAGCGGTCTGGTGTCTGATCTGTATCCCTGATATCTTGTTTCAGGCATAAAATATCCAAATGTGCTACCTGTTGCTACACACTTTCCCAATGTGCATATTTAAACTAACCTATTACTATATTTTCTTATCTTGCACTTCTTTAAACCAACAATAATACCTTCACCACCCCATAAACCATTATTTGATTCCTCAGGGTAAATCACTTTCACTGGTACATTTTGTACTCTTTCTTTGATCCTGAAATAGATTTTGAAAATTTGGATACCGGATAGTGAGTCCCAGTTTACTGAATTATAAAAGATTTACTTTAAGTGGAATTGCAGGAACCTCAGATGTCTTATTGAAAATTGGAATGGTGTAAATTGATGCTATCAGTGTCCCTGATACAGATAAAAAATTTAAAAAACCTCTTTACAATCCCTTTAACATTTTCAAAAAGGAAATCTGATTTTGTATGTATACAATCATTCTAAAATTTCATGGCAACCGATATTCAATAATGTTCACTTGAGAGAAATCCAATAACAGTCTACAAACATGGACAGTTGAATCTAATAAATCTTTCTTTATTTGAAGATGTTCTAGACATCTGAGTTTTCTTCTGAAAAGTGATAAGGAAAGCTGAGGTCTTTCATATGGGAAAGCAAATATCTAAATGAGGCTTTTCATTCAAACATACATATCTCTTCCTCGTTGCTTCACTGTATATTTTTCATCATTATATTTCACATGGACAAATAATGGTTCAGCACGCATAAACTGCTGACATCTTCTTTTATAATGGGCTGGTAGTAGATGATGGACTTCATTAGACCACTTATAAATATATGGCACAAATCCTGAAACATAATCAATATTATCAGAATACATAGGTCATAGGATTTTACAAAATACTTTCAAGATATTTAATATAACTTAATATGTCACAATAAACTTATAATATTACGATATTTTTTCAGTATGGTAATAGGCCTACCGGTACTTTTTTTTTTTAATTCTGCCTTTTTTTTAAAGATAAACCATATATATCTAACAAGAATAAAATAAAAAATTAGAATCAGTGTTAAATAGCATAAGTTTATGATATAAATATCTGTAACAAAAAAAATTAAGTCATTTAAAATGAAGCAGATGATCCTATCTGGACCAAAATTTGACATTAGGCTAAGCATATATGATGATAACCAGCCTACCAGATATCAAGATATGACGATATATAACTAAAGATATTGCCCAGTCCAGTCCTATTAACACACTGGTATATTCAAATTTACCAGACAAAAGACAAAACTGGTATCAACAAGGTAGAAATAGGGCATAACGACGAAAAAAAGGTTCTTGACTTCTGACATGTTATAATCTTTTTAAGACATACAGAAGCAGGAAGGTAAACATTAAGAACACGAGTTATATGGATATACTACTTCTAGTTTTATAAGTATAATTTTACTTGATAACTTTACCTGTATGTGTTTTGCAACGTAGTATGTTAAAAAACTAGAAGTAGTATAATATCCATATAACTTGTGTTCTCAATTTTCTGACATGTTGTATACCTACTCAGCCCACATCGCCAGGAATGAATTGTTACCGGGGCTTAGATTTTGTACTCAGAAAATCTGAAAAATTAAAGGCCTAGAGAGCTCATTTCAATTTTGAGTTGCCAAAAACGTATCAAAATCTATAATATTTTTGATTTGGACAAAGACACTGTAAATTAAATAATCTCTGCTGAACTGCAGATGGTTTTTCTGCGGCTTAATTCTAACTTGCTGGGGCCTAGCCCCCACCCCAACGACAGGGCTGTATCTACTGTAGCAGGTAAACCTCATTTTATGTAGTGTAGAGTGTAGGCAATGAGGAACTGGGGTAGAACATCTCGAATCACATCCTGTGTTTTTCAACACAACTGTACATGACCTACACATTTTTTCTATTTGCTTTATAAAGATGAACAAATACACGTAAAAATATGCTAGTATGAGCAAGAATGTCTGAAGAGGTTTAAGTTGTAGCTAATTATAAAATTATTGAAATGCTTTCACTTCAATTTCTTTACTCTTTAGTTTAGCAAATGTCAGTGCCAGTGCTAGGAGAGAAGAGTGAAAGAGGGAGGGTGGATAATCATAACATTGATTGATTGATTGCAAGCCATATATTATCTGTTTTAGTAGCCTACTTACTAAATTTGGATACTTTATAAGCCATGTCATTGATTTAAAGTACGTGAAATCAAAAAAATGCATTCAGTTCATGAGCGCGGACATCTTGGATTGTACTTTGCTTCAGAATACAATGTAGAATGTAGTTACCTCCCTTTAGCTGCAATAGTGAGGAAGGTCCATAAACTTATAGCCAGCTTCTACCATAACAAATCTAAATTAGAGCTGAATATTTCAGTGAATGACAATGAAGTACAAAATGTTTCCAGACCATTAGCAATCCATTAAATGCATCTAGTTTTGAGATAAAATCCTATTTCGAATTTCTATTCTTGGTCCAATTTTTTAGTTCTGTAACTCTATGATGACTATGGATTGGAATATACCAAAAACAAAAATACCTAAAATAAAGGAGAAGCCAATGGTGATAGCTTCGAATTTGGTCTACAATTATTGCCACTGCTTGACCTATGAAATTACTACTTCTCTCCTAATATTAAACTTGTTTATTTGAACCAAGGATTGCGCAATGGGGGACTTATTATATACATGTATGTATAGCCTTGAAAGCAGCACATTAGCCATCTTTCTGCTTGCACTTGGAGCGTCAGCTTATTGTCCCAGCTTTATGACTGTTAGACATTTTGTATGGTGGCCCACAATGACATCCGGAAAATCACGATGTTATTAATTTGACCAAAGAATTCTAGTTTTATCTGATGGAAATTAAAATAAAGTGAAAACAAAACAATATTTATTTTGCCAATAATATGTTATATTTGATAATAATAAAATTCATTTGAACCAACAAAAAACATTAATGTACCACAAATGTGTAAAATTATCGAACATTATTCAACATTAATAGGCTTACCTTATTATAAAACTCAAATTAGATAAAAAAAAAATAATCTCTGCAAGCTTGTTACTGTCTTAAAACTTTCATAATTTGAACTTTTGAGGCTAATTTGTGTATATACCTAGGGCAAGCAGATAAATTCAAAATGACCGAAAATCTGTATGCCTCTGCGCATTATTTTGTATTTTTTGGGTCATTATGTTTAAAATATAAAAAAATATTCAATAATTCCAAAATAATTCCAAACATCAGTAGTGTTAATGTACCCCAATGCAAATCTGACTTGATTTGATTTTACAAGATAAACAGATGCAAAATGTTTACAATTCTACCATTGTGCATTTTGTTCTTGGGTGAGCCTGTATACTTGTAACATTTTTTCAATGATATGGCAATTATATTGTAATATTGTGAGTAATATTGTCAAAAGTTTTAGAGCTGTAATTCTTGTAGTCCTGAACAACTAGCCTATGATAATGTACAACCAGAATCATGCCATTTTGCTAAATAAACTTTTATTAAAAATCTCTTAAAATACATCACAAGAATATTTGCCTATAAATAAAATGAAAGACAAAACAGTATTGAGCACATTAAAACTTGGAATGTCAGAGTGAACACTGTTCTGACTATCCTGCAGAAATACCAGCCAACACAGCACCAGTAACAGAGAATGCACATCCTAATAATAATATTACTATATTCCTTTTACCCTGAAATATACAAGCACAACAAATTTAAAATCGTAGCGTTTTATCTGAAAATCCCTAAATCTTTAAGTTTACTTTACCAAGTTGCTATAAAACACAAAACTTTACTGGTGCCACTCAATTTGTAAGTTCTGCTTGTTTGAGATTCATGGAATCAACTCAATAATCAATTCAGTTAACAAATTGGAACAGGGTTTGAAGGAAAGAAAGAAACTACTATATTTTACAAGGATAACAACTTAGGTTCACAGTTAAGGATCCTTTCTACCTGCTGGTCATTAATCTTTCCCGGATTATCCGTACATGGAATCATGAGTGAAGATGACTTATTTAACGTCATCAGACCATCACACGCCGATAGAGATCGGAACCCACAGCCGCCATTTGCTCGACGTAACCAAGCAAATGACGTCATGTAAAGAACCAACGCTATGTGGTATAGAACCTCACAGAATTGTGATTGTGATCCAAAAAAGGTGTAGACTGAATTCTAAATGGTAGAGAAAGGAATAAGTAGGGTAGATTTTGAATGTGACACATCTGTTCCTGAACTGTTCGTCCGATGTTAGAATTGGAACAGATGGAACCTGTTCAGGACTGACCAATTAAGCGCTAATACAGCATGAAGACTACAGGACAAATTATTATCCTGTTTAATCTTTTTTGAGTAATCAACCAGGGATGCACTTGCCCTGTTGTTTGAAGCATTAAAATCTTTTTGTCATTTGCTTGTATATGTCTAACAAATGTTGGTTGTCAGTTGTAATCTAAGTCAGCACTTAGTCCGGTGACTTTAAATATGACATCTTTCTCCAGCTTTAAATTAAGGAAACCTGTGGCTATAGACCACATAACACCTGATACAATCCCTGGTAAGATGGCTTCAGAGTATATTCTGGGTTTGTTCTTCATTATTAGACAATATATTAGAAAATAAACTGTACTTGCAATATATATCCCACAAAATGTTGCAAATACATAATCTAGAGCTGAAAATACAAATGACATGTTAGATTTAGCATTCAGTTCTGTTCCAATGGCGCTATATTTAACAAATCAAAGAGTTTTATGTAAAACCTATTTCTTGATAACAATAATGAATTGTGGGATATAAGCAGGTAAGGCAACATATTTCGCAACTAACTTTGAGTTTCATTATCACATTTTACACACTTCAATTGGTTCAAAATAATGTCATTAGAATGGGACTCCATTAGAAAACTGTTAGATTACAAAAAATATCAAAAAAAAAAAAAAAATTGTTAGCAATTCTAATTAGATTGGTCTTAGAAAGATGAAATTACTTACAATCGGTACTACTGCCAGGTATAGCATACTGAACATGTAATGATGGAGAAAATAAATTTCCATAACATAAACCAGATACCAGAGATAATACAACACCCCTATACAAATAAAATACCAGATAATCAACTAAAAATACTCAAAAATAATCATTATTTCTGGGGGCTAAATTTTTCATGTTATGGAAAAGCAGAGACCAAGAATTTGCTTTCGAGGACTGGACTCTTGCACAAATTATTTGTTAATTTCAAAGCACCAGGTACATAAATAAAGTTTAGTTCTATCAGCCCGAGAGAGTTTAATCCTTTTAAGTCCTTAGTGCTGAACTAGTAAGTAGAAAATTGTTAAAAATAGATGAAAGTCATATCAAAACATGTTTCACTTACGTAATGAACTTGCCTTTTGGTGACAAAGTATCTATAAAAGTTACATCTTCTGCAGCCTATAAACATTAAAATAATATCCTTTACATTCTGCATTAGGTGAACAATTTAGTAATGGTATAATTCAGTTAGTGGGGAATTAGGTCAAATACTAGCAAGATAACATACTGGGTTATAATCCCAGAAGTACTGGCAGTTGCATCAGAATATTTCTTTCCTTAGGGAGGGATTGAACCCATGGTGCCTTATCACCTAGCGGGTGAAAATCCAACTTGCTACTACTGACTGTGCTATTACACTGCCAAAAACAAAATAGAAGCTAATTTGTCATCAAATCAATCAGAAAGCAAAATTCTAGATATACTTACTTTTTTCTGACTTCTATTAGAAGAAGTTAATATGACATCTTGAGAATTAGTGTAGGGACCATGTAATGTACCATCCATTGGAGACTAAAGTACAAACAATTCTTGTTATAGAATAAATTTAGATCTAAACAGTGTGTGTGTGTTTTTTTTTTTAATATTAGAAATGCACTGTCACTAAAGCTTAGTGTTTCATGATGTTTCATATTATAGAAGCCTTGATAGTGAGGCCATATACTGTTAATCATTTCTGTAATCACAGGAGACACAGATATTTGACAGAAAATAGGAATCAAGCAAATATAAGCTATAAATTCCAAAATATACATAAAAGATAGCTTGCCTGGCAAAGTAACAAATGCCCACTACCAGCTGTCAGCCTGGCAAAGTAACAAATGCCCACTACCAGCTGTCAGCCTGGCAAAGTAACTAATGTCCACTACCAGCTGTCAGCCTGGCAAAGTAACAAATGCCCACTACCAGCTGTCAGCCTGGCAAAGTAACAAATGTCCACTACCAGCTGTCAGCCTGGCAAAGTAACAAATGTCCACTACCAGCTGTCAGACTGGCAAAGTAACAAATGTCAACTACCAGCTGTCAGAAATAATAATTCTTTAGCTGCTTGAAAATTAACTTTTAAATAATCTTAAAAATATTTATAAGTCAAGGCAAAATCTCAAAAACAGTTCATCAAATTATCATGAAATTCAAACATGAACAAGGTCTCATTGCATACACAAGGGCAATAACTCTGAAACCTTTAATCCTATTATTATCAATTTTGAACTTGACCGAGATCTCATCAATATATATACATACATACCAAGTTTAATCGAGATTGGATAAAAATTGTAGCTTTTACGAGGTCAAGGACAATAACTCTGAAACCATTCATCTGATTATTACTTATCTCGAACTTGACAGAGATATCATCAATATTTACATGCATACCAAGTTTATCAAGATCAGATAAAAACTGTAGCTTCTATCATGTCTAGAAATGCTCATGGACAGACAAACTGAAAAAGCTGTAGAACCTCTTTTTGTTGTCTCTCTAGGGTTTACTTACTGAATTAATTAATCTCTCTCTTTCACTATCTGTTGGTTGTTCAATCACTAGCTCTGTACTTTGTGCACTCACTTCACTTTTAACAAAAATATAAATAAAGGCACTGGAAAACCAAATATTAATAGAAACTATTAAAAGTAAAAAAGTAAATTTTATTTATTATATCCATATTTATATATAAGCTTTATAAAAAAGGGCAGTCTTATTTTTTATCAACCAGAAATTTTAATTTTAAAACCGATTTAAATCATACACAAAAAATAATATTTCAAAGATGTTCTATTTACTAATATGTATATCCTGATCATACTGAATTTATTTTAATAAGGTTAATAAAAAACGAAGTGTACTAATTATTTAGTAAGCATTTTTTCATAGTTATGCTTAAAGTACATAAGTTTTCCAACACCAACCAAAAAAATCATAGGGATTGTAAAAAAAACCTTTAAGATTAATGGCAGGAATTTTTCAGTTTAAATTTTCAGATGAGGTAAGGGATACACATCCCTAGATTTTGATCTATAGTTTTCATTAATTTGAGCACCTAATTTTTCCAACCTACTAAAAAAAATCATAATGCCCCTATAAAATGGGTAGAGTTAAGGCAGTAATAAATGACAAAATTACCTACCTACTACCTGCAATAACAACTCCGGCATAATTCATAGCAGTATTAGCTAATACAGCTTTCTTAGTATCAAACAAACCAAATCTAAAACCAGATATACAGATAATTAGGTTCTGTATACAGTGAAACCCCTGTAAACCACTGAATCATTTTTTAATACATAGGAGATAAACAAATTACCTCAAAAATGACCCCTTACAGAAAGGGTGTACTATATTCAGTATAATTTACTTTGAGTAGTTAAATGGATTGTAAAGAGGTTTTCTAGCCTTTTATGTGAATCAGGGACACCTTTGACTTCTATTTGGGACAGTGGTGGAGCCAGGTTTACGTCGGAAGGAGGCAAAATATCTGAGATTGCCCAAAATTTAGTTAGGACATTTTTGACGAATCAAGGCTAACTTGATTTACCAAATGTTCGCCTCACCAGCTATTTTATCAAAAATAAGGATATATAGCACTCTGATTTGCACGAATATCATACTACTCTTCCATTCCATCATCTTGTAAGGGGAGATAACATATATTTATGTACATATACATTATGTTATTGTGGTCTGGCTGTATAACGATTCTCTTTAGGAGCTACATCATTTCCAGTTAACTCTGTCTGGAATTGCAAAAATCATACGAATTGGAAAAAAAAAAAAAACTTTTTACAAAAAGATATGAAATAAAATAGCCATTCAACTTACTTTCCTGTAGCCCAACCAGCTATCAGATTAGTTGTTGCCCATATACATAATCCTAATCCTAAACCAATAGTTTTTATAATTGGAACCACACATATATTACCTTAATATAATAGAGAACATGTTTTTACAACAAAATGTATCTTACATTCTTATTGTCCGAGTAACTTGTTTTGGGAATGGGAATATCAGCCTCACAATAGTACTGTTAGTCTAAGAATGCCTTTGTGTTGATAAAACTATAATATTTTGTAAGTTTACATTGAAAAGGACTTATCAAGTAATGAGCAAATTCAAGAAATCTTATGATATTTACCTGTAGCCCATATAGCCCCACCAAGCAAACAAATAGGATAAAACGTAGATGGTCTGATGGCTTGTAACACTAACCCAGATGCTAATATTGCACTGCATAAAATCCACTGGAAAAACATTCCTGTATTAAAAAAAAAACAAACATATGACATATATATTTCTAATGAGTAAAAAAACTCTCATAATAGACAGCACTTTAAGTTTCCATTTCATTTATAGATTTATCTTCATTTAAGCATAGATTGTCTGATGTCCGATTTTGGAAAGTGCTATATATATTGTATTGGCAGATAGTGTGCGTTAGATCATTGACTGGACCTTTACAATATGAAGTTGGGTAATTTCACATTTTTTATCGTCACAGACCTATACTCAGAGGCTATTTTCAACAAGAACAAAGAGTCAAAGGGACAAGTGTGGCAAATATTGTATTTTACAAAAAATCAAAATTGATTGAACAATTACTGAAACATTCCAGTTCCACTTACCATCCCCTGTTTCATACTTCTTCACTGGTACAAAATTACTTCCATAAAATATAACAGCCACACCAGCACAGATAAAACCAACATATTCTGGATATACTGGACTATTATCTGGTAGAACCGTTGAGTTAGTGGTTGGTGTATACATTGTGGTAGTATTATACATATCAAACAAATTCATATAGTCAGCCATAGTGAATTATTAACACAGCAGACTAAACTCAAGTTTTACTTTGTTGGTTCTGCAACAAACAAAACAGTATTTAAAACTTCAATGTGGCGGAGAAAAATTGGAGCTAAACCTGCACCTCAAGTAACACTAAGTAAAATCATTTTAAGATATTTCTGCTTTTTGGGTTGAGATATCCTGTTTGACTACTGACACTGTCTGTAGTTTATGCTTATCAACAATTTATGCAATGATTCAATGATAGTTTACTCTCTGACTACAATGTTTTCTGAATTGAATTTTGACAATCATTTTCCTATGAATTGTAACACGCCTACCAACTACAAAATACTAATAAGAGTCTTAGATTGCCTTTGAGTTGATGAAAATGTTAACCACTGGAAAAATATGAATTGTTTTTAATCATATTATCACTCATCACTGACATCAGTTCATCATGAATTCAGTTAACATTGATTATTGAAATTTGGTAAAAATCGTAACTAACAGTAATCCATTAACGTAAACAATTTGTCATGTGACTTCATTCAGTGCTATTTGTTTTTATCAACATATTCGGTGCGTCACAAAAATCACAAAAATTAAACTGAAAAGTTTGTTGAAGCGCAGAATTATAATTTGAAAGTTGTGAACAGTATGTCTGTTTAAGTTTGAAAAATCTTGAATACAACATCAACTATTTTTAAAGAAGCAGAGTGTTGTAGGCTACCAGAGCTTAGATGAAACGTCTATATGTATAAATTGAGACATGCCACATGGTATAGCCTAATTTTTAACGTAATTAATTAGGCCTATGACCAAGCCACAGAAAAATGATTTATGACCGTCGAGACATAATATAACTTACTAATTAATCCGGTTAAGATTTAATTATGACGGCTGATTTTCGATTAAATGCTTTCCTATCAACAGATCCTCTGGTATCACGAACGATATCCAAATGAAATAGTCGGGGTTATTTAATAATTGTGATAACAATTGTGAGATAACCAGATAAGTGAAATGATGTCAAGGATCTTTACTCGTGCATATCTTGAACCATAAAAAGCGCCTAAGAGGTATTAGTGAGTCAATCCATAGAGTTAAAAATCTATAGAAAGAATTAAAAATTCAGGCTTCTTTATTTGGACATTCCAATAAAGTTATATATGTATATTTCCGACATTTCGGGCTAACCGATGGGAATCAGGACCGGTCGGACCGTTACCGTTTCGGCCCACTCATTACACTACCAACTCGGATCGTTACTGTGTCGGACCTATACCGATTCGGCCCACTATTTTTTATTTTAATCGGACCAAGTCTTAATTAACAATACTCAACCAATTATTAGGTATTAATTATCACTTTGATGTGAATTGTTCAATGAGATTAGTTAAGGGATTAGACGATTTGTATTCAACAGTTCAAAGTTGAAAGATTTAACTGTGGTACCGTTCCAGTGTCAGAACTGTACGACTCCTATACCCTCAGCCTCCCATTCCCGATATCAAAGCAAGCAGAAGGTGAAATGAGTACCAGCCAACTATTAAAATAACCAAAATAATTAAACAGCCCTTTTCAGGGACATCTAAACGGCCCTTTTCAGGGCCACCAAACTCTCTCAAAAGAGTGAATGAGTCCAATATATTTTTTTGAAAAAAAAATTTAATATATATAAAACACGGTCATTATAATGGCCGCCATATGCATTGTCTTTTAACATTGTTCTGAGTCGGTAAGGTATTGGTCCAAATTTATAAAAAAATGTGATCCGAGTCTGTCGTAAAAATTACTTCGAGTCACTAAGGTATTGGTCCAAGTCTAGTGGGCCTAGTCGGTAGTGAGAAAAAAAACCTTGGTCCGAGTCGGTAGTGAGAAAAATATCATTGGTCCGAGTTGGTTATAAACATTTTTTTTTAGGTCCGAACCAGTAATGGTCCGACACGGTAATGGTCCGACCGGTCATACATTCAACTGCGACTCAGTGATCTTGTCAGAAATCCTATTGTATACCGAATGATATCGTACCATCTTTTTGGTTTTTAATTTGAAGAGCTTTATTTTTTTTAAGAATATCAACGCATGATCTTGATAGTATTTGCCTGAAAATTAGTCTATTATTCACCTAATTGCAAATAGGCTACTTAAAATTTGAAAAGTGATTGTATACAATTTGTATACATTTTGTTTATGATAGTATATTAACGAGCTCTATAGAACTGTAAGGGAAGTTACTCTCTTTTCGAAACTAGTGGAATACTTCCTTATCTAAAAATAACATTATAAAGAAAGATGAAGATGTCTTAATCGTCCACGGAGATCATGGTTAAGTCACGAATTTGTCAACAATCTGTGATATTACTGTGCTGTTTTGTATTAGTGCAGTGTCTAGGGCCTATATCTGGTTTCTATGCAGCTGTAGCTGCTGTGAGCTCAGGTGTTTTCTCAGGGTATAGATATATAAAAAGTCAGTTTACTGAATGTTGTGACGACTATTGGCTTTTGAAAAACACTACAGGTAAAAACTGCAACAGCTATGTTTTCTTTTCATAAACCTTTCAATCCTGCAATGGGTTATACAATGGGTGCTCGGTCAACTCAGAGATAATTTTTGTTGGTCAACTCGGTATTTGAGACAAAATTTTATTGATTAACTTGGAGACAAAATGCAACTCGATGACAATATTTGCCGAGTCAACTCAAAGACATAAATATAATCCTATCCATTTCCTTATTCAGCACAATTTATGACTTAGATGCTATTTTTAGTAGCAATTATGCCTCCATTGTTTTTGAGCCTATACCGCTTATTTTGTTTGAAATTGTTCAATTACGCTTGGATTTGGCTCTTAATGAAATGGTTCACTACCCAAACTATGTTTAATAAAGTTCCTATCGTATTGAAAATAAAACCACCACAAATTTATAATGAGTAAAGCAAAACAATGTTACTAAGATATCACCTTTATTTCAATAATATATCTCCACGTTAACTCATGGTTGTCTCTGAGTTAACTGTCTCAGAGTTGACATGTCACCAAGATGACTGGTATTCCTGCAATTTATGATAGTTTTGGCACCTCTGAAACTTTAACCATATAAGCCTTACATGTGTAATACTAAAATTAAAAGATAGGCTTGTGAATTGAACTTATCATAATTATTTACCATTTAGAGATTGTTGACTTCTTGAAAACAGAACTTTGTTATCCCACTATTTCCAGTTAACCTAGCTGTAAATGTCTAGGCCTACAGATAAACCAGGAAAGATAAATGCCTAAGGTGGTGTCAACAGAACCTTCTCCTGTAGAAGATAAATATAAACAACATACTACTGTATTTTCAGGCTTACAAAATGAATTACAAAATAAATTGTTTGGTCAGCATTTAGTTTTAAAAGCAGTGGTCAATCATGTTAGAGCTCACATTGAAAATAAACATCCACCAAAAGCTTTGGCTCTGTCCTTCCATGGTGGAACTGGTACTGGTAAAAATTATGTCAGTAAAATGATAGCTGAACATTTGTATAAACAGGGAATGAAAAGTAAATTTGTTCATTTGATATCAGCTACTAAAGAATTTCCTCATGAAGAAATGGTTCATTTTTACAAGGTTAAGTGTATTAATATCTGATAGCTAAGATGGTTTTTCCTAAATAGAAATTCTTTTCTAGCAAAATCGTGTAGCTTCTCTATGTGCACAGGCACCATGACTTAATTCCCTATGAGCTTATGACTGAAAATGCTTGAATATGAATAAATTTTGGGGGTTCCTGGATGTCCAAGTTGTAAATTGATATATTTTGCTTACCTAAATTGCAAATATTGCTTAGAATTAAAGGCTAATTTTGTGAGGAAAATGAGAAACAGCTTTTATATGTTGTTTTAAGACCTTCGCTAATCCGTGTTTGCTATAAAAGCAAGAATAGAGCTTTGTGGAAAGTGAGATCTTGTATTCTTTTTTATTATAACTCAATTATTAGGGTATTCTCTTAGCCTAAAAGGACATTTTTATACCCAATTGATTGTTTTGTATTTTACAGGACCAGTTAAGAAATTGGATAGAGACTAATATATCAGTATGTAGTAGATCATTGTTTATTTTTGATGAAATGGATAAAATGCCAGCTGGATTATTGGACACCATTAAACCATATTTAGATTATTATGAACAGATAGGTGGTACAGATTATAGAAATGCTATCTTTTTATTTCTCAGGTAAAGTTGTATTTAAGGTTGAAGTAAAGCATAGCAGCTTCAAAACCAGGGCTGTTGATTTGGCTGTATTTTTCGGACATGGTTGACAGACCAGCTAAAATGTCCGTTTTTGGCAAGGATCTGTTGAACATCAAGTATAGGTTGAATAAATGTTACCATCAGTTGAATGATTAACAAGTGACTAAATACTACTTAGTTTTCTAAATGTCTGTTTAATCTGATGAAGAGAACCCCTCCTGAATGATTGATATAAAGCCCCAAATCATTTATTAATCATCCACATGTTTATTGTAGTAATACAGCTGGAAGAGATATTATAAACTTTACTTACAATAAATGGACAGACGGTATTCCTAGAGATAATATCAAACTGAAAGAAATAGAAAATATTATAATCAAATCTACTGTCAACACTATAACACAAAGTAAGTTCATTTTCTCTGGCTTTTCCAGTCAATTCATGTGTTTTTGATCTGAAAGGTAATGGTTAAAGGTTTTCTAAACTTTCTATGTGTGTTGGGGACACTGATATCATTGATTTTGCACAATTCTGGTAAAGTAAGCTATTATTACATAAGGATCTTGGCTATTGTAATATCATGAATGCAACAAACATGAATTAAAGGCCATGGTTCACCATTTTGGGGGTTAATTAGAGTCTTTATAGGAGTATTTGGATTTTTTATAAAAAGTTTTCATTATCAAAAACGTTGTAAATCATACCTGAAAATATTTCTAAAGTATGCTATTTATATCTTTGTATCTTCTTGATCAAACTGAATTTGTTTTAAAAGGGTTGACTAAAATGGAGAGAGTACTAATTAATTTAGCAGTTTGACCAAGTTTCGGTGATAATGACTCAATATTACTAGAATTATTTAGAACATATAGGAGACATATTACTACAATAAGGCGTTTATTTTACCCAAATCCTTACAGTAGTTTTCTAACAGCTTCTAAAAAGGATAACGAATTATAAAACTTACGTATTGGTTTTAAATATTTACGGATGGATTCTATTAGTTAAAACTTTCAGATATGTTAAAGGGCATATTTGTCTAGATTTTGTATAGTTTTCACCAATTTAAGCAAAAACAATTTTTTTTTTCCAAAAAAGCAGAATGTCCCTTTAATATAATTATGTCAATAGTCTTCAGAACTTTTTAAACTGTACCAAATTCTTTCAGATATACCTGGAACTAGAAAATTTAAACCTCTATTTTTCTATTCAATATTTTTTTTTTTCAAAAGGAAATTGTCATTTCAACTCTCAAATGCAGACATGCATGGATTTGAAGGCTCAAGTTTTGACGATATTACTGATTAGCTTTAATAAAAGATTCCTGATTGGTGAACCAGATGGTAAAGCTGTCCCTTTAAACACATACACATTTATAATCTTGTTTTTGTTTACAGGAGGTTTATGGCACAGTGAGTTAATAACCAAACATCTAATAACAGCTTACTTACCATTCTTACCATTAGAAAAATCTCATATAATGGAGTGTATTAAAGATGCTATGGTACTGCGAAAGCATTATTCTGACAAAGATCGGTATAGAATTCCTGGAGATCTTATAAAAGAAGTGCTTAATGAACTCACCTATTTCCCAGAACATGAGCAAATATTTTCCATCACTGGTTGTAAAAGGGTCATGGAAAAGGTAGACTATGTAATGCTTCAGTAATCACTGAGGTTTTCTGTAATGCTTCAGCATTCACTGAGGTTTACTATAATTTCAGTATTCACTGAGGTTTACTATAATTTCAGTATTCACTGAGGGTTACTATAATTTCAGTCACTGAGGTTTACTGTAATTTCAGTATTCACTGAGGTTTTATGTAATGCTTCAGTAATCACTAAGGTTTCTTGTATCAACAATTAAATGAGTTGATTTGGAATTAATCATACATTTCTCTGTGAACACGAATTGGGCCCTGGGCTTTATTTTCTCCCTTTTTGAAAAACCAAAATATTTATTTTAGCTTGACGTGGACTCTGCAAACAACAAAATCTATATCTATGTATCAATTTATATGATGTAAACAATCAAGGATTCTCTTCAAGGGACAAAACAGGAATAATGGTCATTATAAATGACAATTCGGAGTTTTGGCCATTGTTCCCAAAGTTCAGAAAATTCTAAGGTGCACTTTGCATGAATTGTGGTACGTGTGAATTTAATGTGTTGAAAAAGGAATAGTGAAATGAAATATTTATACATGTAAAACAAATCATGGAATGAATAATATTTTTTGTTACGCTTGTTTTCTGTTAATGTAGACATTTTATTAACCATGGTGCACTGTCTATTAGAAGGATTACTATGGCCTTCAGTACAATTTTCTTTCTGTAGAATATTGAATATTGAATGTTAAACTGATATAAATATGCAATGGTAACATTATTTGTTTTGTTCACTATAATTTAATCTGTTAAATGAATGGTAATCGGTGAAATTTATCAATGAAATATTGAATTATTTTGTAGCCCTTCATTATGTGCATTAGAAGTATAAATGTATATTTTTTGGTTAAATGAAATGAAAAAGTGTTTTCTGCAGTTATTTTGTTACTAATAGAAGAAATGATTGTCATCAAACATGAAGTTCCAAAATCATCCCCCCCCCCCCAAAAAAAAAACCGCCCTAACCCCAACCAATCTCAAAAGGGAGATTATTTGGTGAATGCCTATACCTTTATCTTTCCACCATGCAGAAGCTTACCAACAGATCTGAATGTAGACTTGATATTGATAAGGTATCTATATTGGTTGAATTGTAAGAATATTCAAGAGTTAATGTCCTTGACATCTGTCTGGAGTATGAACTTCGGAAAAAAAAACTTGTGCTATAATGTATTCCCTTATAAAAAAAAGGTACCTCCAATCGTAGAGTTTCAACCCTAATGAACGCCTCGATTGACTTGATGTTGAGTTAAAAAAAACAATCGTAAGTATCAAAAATATTACGAAACTATATGGATTAAAAGTAACCCCGAGTAACTCTTCAACTACTTTCGCCTCATGTAAGTATCTTCAATTTTCAGAAAATTAGTCTGTTTGTGTTAAAGCCACTATTCTCAGAGTAAACCCATGTTCAGTATCCACAATGTGGTTAAATTATTGCTAAAAGAACGTGTTAGATGTGGATAATCATCACACAGTTGCTACAGTAACATGTTAGATGTGGATAATCATCATACAGTTGCTAAAGTAACATGTTAGATGTGGATAATCATCACACAGTTGCTAAAGTAACATGTTAGATGTGGATAATCATCATACAGTTGCTAAAGTAACATGTTAGATGTGGATAATCATCACACAGTTGCTAAAGTAACATGTTAGATGTGGATAATCATCATACAGTTGCTAAAGTAACATGTTAGACGTGGATAATCATCACACAGTTGCTAAAGTAACATGTTAGATGTGGATAATCATCATACAGTTGCTAAAGTAACATGTTAGATGGATAATCATCACACAGTTGCTAAAGTAACATGTTAGATGTGGATAATCATCATACAGTTGCTAAAGGAAAATGTTAGATGGATAATCATCGTTCCGTTACTAAAGGATCCTACCGCTGCTTAAGAACCATGTAAATCGTACCCCTGCTGAAAGATCATGAGAGATCCCCATGCACAGGAAAAATGGCACTTTTTTCTGTGTCCAGAAATATATGGATTATATATGAATATATATCCTATATACAAAAGACCTTTCCTTTCCCATACACAAAACCTTTTCAAGACCGGCTGATCACGACTAAACGAGGAAATTGAATGCGAAAGTAGCATTATTTGTTTCAGGGGTGTTCGTTCTAGTTTGCAAAAGATTATATATATGGATTAAAAGATTATATGGTGTTGGATGTTATAGAAAATACTCTCTTGTAGAAGATTAAATACACTATAACTGGTTTCGAGAAATCGTCATTGTTAGCCTATGCACAATATATTGATATTTATTACCTATATAGGGTTATCTATTGCCGACAAAGACAGGGTGCTCTACATGTATATTATAATCTAATGCAATGTCGAACTCTGACGTCTGTGACTGTCTAAGAGTTTTGTTAGTAATACTAATTTTCATAATATTGATTGTTCTAGTGTTATCTGGAGGCTTTTTAATATTTTCTTATTTCCGAAATCCCAGTGAAAAGTGTGATGATACATGGTTGCTAAGAAATACGTCAGGTTAGTAACATTAGGACTTTGGACTTAGCCCTTATCATTCACACAGTTCAAGTTTTTTTCGTGTGATATTTCTCAGCTCAAAATTTCAACTTGGTTTACGCTTTTGTGCATACAGTCTAGGAATTATCAGAATAAGATATTATATTATCATGGAACTCATAGACCTATTGTTTCAATTATCATGGTTCAAGGACCAACCGGTTATAACCGGATTCCGTAATTATCATCAAGAAATGATTACATATCAAGTATAAATAAACCCCTGGATATAAGTAGATATCACATCAGTTATAAATAAACCTCTGAATATAACTGAATTTGATGGCAATTATGAAGAACCTTTGATAGTTAGTTGAATCCATGTCAATCATAAAGGAACCTTTGATTATAACTAGATTCCATGTCAATTATAAAGGAACCTTTGATTATACCTAGATTCTATGTCAATTATAAATGAACCTTTGATTATAACTAGATTCCATGTCAATAATAAAAGAAAATTTGATTATACCTAGATTTCATGTCAATCATAAAGAGACCTCTTATAATAATTAGATTTCATTTCAATCATAAAGAAACCTCCGATTATACCTAGATTTCATGTCAATTATAAAGAAACATCTGAATATAATTTGATTACATGTCAATCATAAAGGAACCTCCGATTAAACCTAGATTTCATGTCAATCGTGAATAAACTTTGATTATACATAGATCTCATGTCAATTATAAAGAAACCTCTGATTATACCCAGATTCCGTGTCAATTAGAAAATAAAAACTTCTGCTTTTACCTAGATTTCATGTAAATTAGAAAAAATCTCTGATTATACCTAGATTTCATGTAAATTATAAAGAAACATCTGAATATAACTGGAATTCGTGTCAGTTATAAAGAAACTTCTGATTATAACTAGATTTCATGTCAATTATGAAGAAACCTTTGATTATAACTAGATTTCATGTAAATTTTAAAGAAACCTCTAAATATCTGAATTTTGTGTGAATTATAAAGAAACATCTGAATATAACTGGAATTCGTGTCAGTTATAAAGAAACCTCTAATTATAACTAGATTTCATGTCAATTATAAAAAAAACCTTTGATTATAACTAGATTTCATGTAAATTTTAAAGAAACCACTGAATATAACCGGATTTTGTGTGAATTATAAAGAAACATCTGAATATAACTTGAATTCGTGTCAGTTATAAAGAAACCTCTGATTATAACTAGATTACATGTCAATTATAAAGTAACCTTTGATTATAACTAGGTTTCATGTCAATTTTAAAGAAACCTCTAAATATAACTGGATTTTTGTGTCAATTATAAAGAAACACCTGATTATAACTAGATTCCATATCAATTATAAAGAAACCTCTGATTATAACTAGATTCCATGTCAATTATAAAGAAACCTCTGATTATAACTACATTTCATGTCAATTAAAAAGAAACCTTTGATTATAACTAGATTCCATTTCAATTATAAAGAAACCTCTGATTATAACTAGATTCCATATCAATTATAAAGAAACCTCTGATTATAACTAGCTTCCATGTCAATTATAAAGAAACATCTGATTATAACTAGATTCCATATCAATTATAAAGAAACCTCTAATTATAACTAGATTCCATGTCAATTATAAAGAAACATCTGATTATAACTAGATTCCATATCAATTTTAAAGAAACCTCTGAATATAACTAGATTCCATATCAATTATAAAGAAACCTCTGATTACAACTAGATTCCATGTCAATTATAAAAACCTTTGATTATAACTAGATTTCATATCAATTATAAAGAAACCTTAATTTATAACTAAATTTCATGTAAATTTTAAAGAAACCTCTGAATATAACTAGATTTTGTGTCAATTATGAAGAAACATCTGAATATAACTGGAATTCGTATCTGTTATAAAGAAACCGCTGATTATAACTAGATTCCATATCAATTATAAAGAAACCTTTGATTATAACTAGATTTCATGTAAATTTTAAAGAAACCTCTGAACATAACTGGATTTTGTGTCAACTATAAAAAAAAACACTGATTATATATAACTAGATCCATATCAATTACAAAGAAATCCCTGATAATAATTAGATTCTGCGTGAAGTTTAAAGAAACCCTTGATTATAACTGAATATAGTGTCAAAAGAAACCTTTGATCAAAACTGAATTTCGAGTCAATCATAAAGAAACCCCTGATTCTAATAACATGGACGATCCCTCAATTGCAAGGTTTGCTGACTATTTAACCGAACAGTGGTTTGAAAGAGAAGACATACATAATTATTTGGAACCATTTTCACACTGTAGGTCCACGAATCATGTTCAGGGGTGGCACCCTGATAAAATCTGAACAAGCAATGACACAAGTGACCATCAGTCTGGTGGTAAGAAATGCCCCAAAAAGAGACAGTATCACCAATTGGAGCATGGAGTATGCAGATGCTGTCTCCCATCTTGTTGGCTTGTAATGATGTGTAAATGATTTAAAATTAATAAATGAAAATAAATAAAATATCACCTCATTAGTAGAATTTTATTTGGCCTAATCCGACTAATCCGTATAACCCAACTAATCAGGATTAGAAAAATTTAATGCCGGGAAAATGAGAACACCTCGAAGGAATACTCTACATATTCTATGATTTATATTATAAACCCTGTATTCTTTAACAATGTTAAAAGTAAGTCTTTTTTTTTGCAGGCTTACAAACAGTGTTACAAGATAAACTGTATGGCCAACATTTAGTTCTGAGAGCAGTAGTCAATCATGTTAGAGCTCACTTTGAAAATAAACATCCACCAAAAGCTTTGACTCTGTCCTTTCATGGTGGAATTGGCACTGGTAAAAGTTATACTGCTAAAATTATCGCCGACCATTTATTTAAAGGTGGAATGACCAGCCCATTTGTTCATTTGATATCAGCTTCTAAAGAGTTTCGCAGGAAAGATATGATTGACGTGTATCGGGTCAGTTGATTTTCAATCTCTTAAATTTACTTTCAACGATATAAAACCGAAATTTACCGTGCATTTAAATAAACCTTGACACCAATGTATTGCCAAACTTTTATGTTGGATTTCGAGTTTCGTTTTGCTATTTGGACAGTTCGTACTTGTTTTCATCATATAGTGCTTAAATCGACTGTTAATCCCTTATTTATTTTATAGGATCAGATCCACAATTGGATAGAGACTAATATATCAGTATGTAGTAGATCATTGTTTATTTTTGATGAAATGGATAAAATGCCAGCTGGATTATTGGACACCATTAAACCATATTTAGATTTTTATCAACAGATAGGTGGTATAGATTATAGAAAAGCTACGTTTCTGTTTCTAAGGTAAAGTTATTACCTATTTTGTCTTCATTAACAACAAATAGAGGTATGTTTCTCAAGGTCTTAGTTTGCCATTTCAGGGGATTGATTTGGGTTATAATCACTTAAATTATACCTCAAAATAGAAATTCTCTCTCTATTTCTGTATATGTCAAGTAAAGGCGAGTCGTCATTTTAACATTCAAACGCAGATAATTCTTGAAACACGTAGATTTGAAGGCTCAGAAGTTGAACTGTGAACAATATTTATGATTAGATTATCTCAAGAATTCCACTCTCTGAGACTATAGGGTACGATTGGTCAAAAGAGCAGTGAATCTGTCACTTCAAGGTCATTTATGAAATTCCTTGGAAAAGACGACAATTAAGTCCTATAGTTACTTGATTTCAATTCTTTGTTTAAATTACAGCAATTCCGCAGGTAGACAAATAACGGATTTTACCTATAAACAATTGAAGAGTAATGTTTCCAGAGAATCCATCAAACTGAAAGACATGCAGAATATCATTCTAAACCAAATTGGTAACGAAGGTAAATCATATGTATATTTAAAGGGGAACAGTCGGCATTTTCGGGGATTGATTTGGGTCTTTATTGAGCTTGAATAGTCTGAAGAAGTACTAAAACGCACGAATATCGCACAATCCCTTCAAATATACTTCGAACTATAAATTTCACTGTCTATTCCTATACGTCATGTGTTTTCTATAAAATAGGGCATAGTCTCACTAAAATTCGAGTCGAATTTTTAACTTTCAAACGTCAATAATTATGGATACACATGGATTTGAAGGCTCAAATTTCGACAATGAGCTGTGAACACTATCACTAATAATGTAAGCTAAAAAAAATCCTGTTTCTGAAACTAATGTATAATTGGTCCAACGGATAGTGAATGTGCTCCTTTAATTGTATTAAAATGCACTGTTCTCTCGATGATACCACTTTAAATAATGATATGTACCAAATAGTTTGGGGAGAAAATCTAAAAATTTTGGCACATTTAAGGTTATCCCCCATCTTTTTTTTTAATCTATCAAATATACAAAGGGTTCGTGTATTTCATATACTTATTCAGATACAACTGCGCCTGCATATAATATACGGTCACATTTATATTATAAGTAAACTCATTGTTAGAAACATAACATAAGACCACAACTAACATGACATTTTCTTTTTTCCAGATATATCTCGCTTTCAAATTATAATACCATTTTTACCATTAGAAAAAAGACACGTAAAAAGATGCATTCAAGACGCGATGGAGGCTCGAGAATATTTTATTTCAGAAAGTATCGTTCAAGAAGTGATGGATGAAATTGTCTTTTATCCACAAGATGAAAAGATTTTTACAGTTACCGGTTGCAAGAAGGTTTCGGATAAAATGGAATACGTGATGTTTAGTTAAAGGGGTTGTAAAGGGGTTTCTTAAATTTATGAGTATCGGAGACACTACAAGCATCAATTTGCACCATTACAATCTCCAGATAGACTTCTGTTGGTCTTGCAGTTGGGCTCAAATTACTAGTCACTTTCCTCTAATCTGCTAATAATTCATAATCATATATATTTTCGAGTAACCACAGATATCTGACTGAAAATTGAAATGTTACAAATTATACACAAAATAAATTTAGCAAAACCTCTTTAACCAAAATAGTCCGAGAAACTCTGATCCGATCTGCAGGCTGTGAAATAGCTATCAACCGCCTAGGGGAGGATTTGAGAGAAATATACCATTTTCGTGATAGATTGAAATTAGTCTGTGAATAGTTTAGTACGCTTGTATATTGTCCAAGTCTATCAAAAGGCAAATTGAATATTATTTTTTTAGAAATACAAAAAATCACCGAGTGAGAGGTTACCCACGAAGGGTGAGCTTTCTTACACCAAAATTGCATGGTTATCTTTGAGCCTATCCCTTCCGACGAGCCATCCATTATAATATGTCAAAGTTTGTAAGGTAAGGTCAAAGTGATTTTTCACCTAAAATGATATTTTGTACTTTTTTAAAAAAAAATATTGTTATTTTTGAATGATATATATTTTTCTCAGTAATTATATTCTGTTGTCCTTGATTTCATGTAAAAGTCGGAAGTGATTTTTTTGTGTTTAATAAATATTTTTGTTTAGTGATTATTGTGCCTGTCTAGAACAGTTTATTATATGAAATGTTTGTTCTTCTTCCATTAAAGGGATTATACAGAGGTCTTCAAGATATTGTTAAGATATGCTTCATCACATAAGGCCCTTCGCGATTAGTGACGTCATCAAGCACTTATAGTTTTAGTGGAATTGCAGGAACCACAGACGTTTGATTGAACGTTGTCCGGGTGTAAATTGATGTAATTGTGTCCCCGATACACATACCAATTTTAGGAAACCTCTTCACAATTCCTTTTAAGTGCAGTTCACAATCTGGTATTATTGAACTTTTTCGGTAAATCCATTTCTTCCAGAATTTAAGCTTCACAAAACTAATGTTTGAAACAAAAATTACAAACGTATATTATACAGTGATCAATATTACTTTCCCTATTGAAAAACCCTATGACAGTGCCTTCTGTTGAATAGTGACTAGATGCTTTACAATATTAACTGGTTTCTTTTCACCTCCCTAATCCCTTTATCTGTTGGGTGTGCATGCCATGAACATAGAAAATTGTCTCGTCCTAGCACAAAGGAGTTTAGTTCGCCATCCAATCTACCTTAGTCTCAGCAACGGAAGCTTAGCTTATCAATAATAGTTTTTACAGCTCACAGTTGAAATTTGAGTCTTCAAATCCATGTGTGTCAAGAATTATCCGAGTTTGAAAGTAAAGATGACTGTCTTTCCTTAAGCTATATATAGAGATATAAGTCAAATCGGGTATTTTGAAAGGAATTGTGCGATTTTTGTACATTTCTAGTATTTAACACCCAAATCAACCCCCGAAAATGGCGAAGCTGTCCCTTTAAACTTTGACTCTACAACTTTAACAACATCACTTTTCATTTATTCAGATAAGTAAATTTCAATGAAAAATGTTTAATATCTATAGGATAATTCACAATATGAAGGCAAAAAAGATACAAAAATTACACAATCTTTCCAAATATGTACATACATTTACTCAGAGTATAATCTGTATTATACAAATAAATTAATATACAAAATAATCTATAAACAGGGAAATGTTAACAAAAAAAGCAAACAAAATTGATATCATTTACATCATGTAATTCAACAGGTTTAGTTTTAACAAACGTAAATAAAATAAAGTCTTGTTTTATTTTAAATATTTTCATTTCTAAAGATGTACCTCGAAAAAGATGAATTTTCTAAATCCATGTATAAATATAATTTAAAATCAGGCCAAAAGGCACACATGTATGGTAATTAAGTCTATTCAAGGCATGATCTAGTGGCTCAAATAGATAGTGGGGGGCCTGTGGATTTTTTTTTAACACATGCTCTTCTACATTTTTTAGACATGTTATAGACTTGATTCTTAATTCTCGTCCAAAATTCATGTGGAAGTAAACATGAGATTTGGAATTAAGTTACAGCCACATTTTTTTTTTTATTTTTTTTTTTTTAAACAAAATTGTTATGAAACAAAGCAAATGGAAAAGATCCTATACACAACCAAAATAAATTAATCATTCAGTAAAATAAAAACAATGAAAACACAAAATGAAATATAATAATAATTTAATTGAACACAAACTTCATCTTAAAACACAAAAATGATTAAATAACTGGAATTTCATTTATATTTTGTACACTTTCTTTCATATCTATTAATGTTTTCCTACAAGTTTGAACTGATTTCTTATCACCCAAGACTTCATACATTCTCTGGGCTTCATTTATTAAACTAACTCTATCAGACATACTGGATACTAATTCTTCTGGTAGATGTCGTCCAGCCATTAATAAAGCTGTAGCTTGTTCCCTTTCTGGTACATCACTATCATCTGATGAAGATTCTAGAGGACAAAAAGATTAAAATGAAATGCTGTATAAGATACAACCCCACTTATAATCTGATTGATTCATAAAAATCTGATATTTTCCTCAGGTTACAATGAATTAATGTTTTTGGATCCATTAATTTTATGGATTTATCAGATTATAGATGCATTTTGGTGTACAGTTATGAAACCTTCTGATATACATTATTGACCAAGTTTAAGAATTTAAATATAATGATCATTCTAAGAGGTAACATTGTTTTAACCTCCGAAAGATTTATTCTCTGCTAGGCAGGGCTAGAAGGCTGTTAACAATGTTGGGTTATGATCCATAATTGTTTTTTTGTGTCAAATATGTGTTTAAATTAAAATTTTGTGCACCGTTTCAGACACATGAAAATATGCCATCATGTAAATTAGAGATCAAAGCCAGGTTATCTACATCAATTTGCTAATATTCTTATTTGTTTTATGAGCGCCGATTTTTTCAAATGCCAAAATCAAAGCAAGAAATTAGTGTGTTATGTACAATGATACATACCATCTAAATCAACTTTAACTCTACGTCTAATACTACAATCTAACAGCTGTTGTGTTCTAGCTGGACTAGCACCAGCCATCATTCTACCTGTAGCTTCATGTAAAAACACCTACAATATATAATCATATAGTTTAGAAATAATTTTTTAGCATTTTCAATAATAGAGGTCTTGTTGGTACACAGTCACATTGTGTCAAACATGAATATTGAAAACAATTGAATTTACTTTTCAATCTAAGACTATCAGTGCTGCCTGGACCCTAGTGTATTCAAATTCACCTAAATATAATTGCAAAATGCACCAACAAGACTGCAGGTGATATCACACAAGGGGGTCATTAATGAAAAGAAAATCCACTTGTTCTATCAAAGGATAGAGTTAGGGCTGGATATCATATTTCTTATGATAGTTTTGTAACAAAAAATCCCCAAAATTTAAGTGTAATTAAAAATCATATATGTTTCCTATATTAAGATTGTTGTTCAAATTCTGGAGATGATCTTACCTGACAAAACTTGATGATTTATCAAGAAAATAACCATTTTTGAACCAATATTACTATCAATGTAAGTTCCTATACCAGCATTTATTGTTACCGGTAAATCACCAAACCCTTCTATAAATCAATATGATTATCCACTAACCTTAGATAAAGCTGTTTTCATAGTTTGTGCTAACTTTCGTAAGCTAGCTAGATCTTGTTGAAAAGCTATTAATTCTGTTTGTGTGGCTGTACAAGATGTATCTTCATGATTTAAATGATTTAATTCCCAAATTTCAGTTCTTGTTGTCAATAACCAATCACATAATAACAACTGTAAACCCTACAAAATAAAATATATACTTAATGTATAAAGCATTATAAATATTAAAACTGATATATAAACATCCTCAGATAGTGAGAATATTTTATCTCTGGACATCAGAAATTTTGGAGATTGAAAATATTTCAAGGACCTCTCTAGAAGAGTAATATTTTTGTTATCAAATGAGATAATGACTGTATAGGTGATAGTTTCAATCGTAATGTTTGCACTGCAGATGCATTGCATAATTTATAACAAATGCAATGCAACTACAATGCACCATCACAACTGCTTAGTTCGGTCTCGTTTCATTTTTGTTGGATTATTTTAAGCAATCATTAGGTAAAACTAACATGCAAAGTATTGTTTTTTTTATTTTTTATTATAGAATAAATGAAGTTTACATGCGACTGTTCTGATCCAAATGGAGTGAAGAAAGAAGATGGGCAACACCTTGCAGTGTGCATGAGGGAAATTTGCAAAGAGAAAAGAAGATCTCAAAGTGCACATACAATAAATACACAAATCATTTAAAAGCTATTCTTTCAGAATTCAACTATTTAAGCCCAAACATGTACCCACCTTAATTATATGAGTATTTTCCGATACGTAAGTTAATTTTAAACTTTCTCTGAGTAATCTACCAGCTCTATCACATTGTCTAATACAAGATTTACCATTCACTGTATCTGGTTGCAATATTAGTGATTTCCTAGCTTTATACGCAAATAATACAGCTTTAGGTAGTGGATCACTAGTGGATAAAAAAGAAATATAACTCCAGTAAAAACAAATTAAATAACCTTTTGTTATTTTGAAATTTTTAAAAATTGGATAAATCCAGATAAAAATAAAGAATCAGATTAGTAGACATAACTTAATTCAAATAAATATTTGAGACTGTCCAATCAGATGAATGATGTCACGTTTACCAGAAACTTGGTCCTGTTTCAAAAACTCTTTAATAAGAATTTGTTTTACATTGAGAAATACCAAAGGCACAAAAAGATTTTAATCGTAATAAAGACTGAAGAAATCATGAAATTATGCTTTATACTTACTCTAGATTTTGCAGACGCTTTGGAAACACATCCAATACAGAGTAATATCTGGATGCATTTTCATCATCACCCATCAGCCAATAATAGGCTACACAGACAATACCAGACCACCATTTTGCTGTTTCATCAAATGCTGTAATCAAACAAATAGGTTTGAAAAACACATCTAATCCAACCAAATCAGAAAATTAACAAGTATCAGCACAATCACAATGTCAAACTATTACAAACTCTGTCTTATACCTTGACATCATTGCTTGACATCATGAGAGGAGTATCATCAAAAATGCCATAACATCAGGAATGACTGTATAGAACAACAAAGACACTCTTGAAGTGATGTCTATTTTCAATTCTGAAGCTAAGTTTGAGCCCTATTAACTGGTAAAGCAAGTTTTCAAACGAAAGGACCCTTTAATTTGCAGAGGGCTGTAAGAATATACTAAAATCTAAACTAAAAAGTTTCTTACCAATTGCTTGGCTGATATCATTGATTGTATCTTTACTACCACGTTCTATAGAACATTCTTCTAATAACTGAGCATACTGCATGGTGTCTGATAAATGACCAGGTCGGCCAGGTACTTTAGGTGAAACCAAGGAATATAATGCTTTCTCAAATAATTCTTCTTTATAAGCTTGACATACACGCATCAGAGGGTCAACTGAAATAAACAAAGAAAATTTCTGTGCAACTCTCCTCTCATTAGGTTGAAGGAGGGTTCAATGCTACCTTAGAGCAACAGAATTTCAAAGATTTTCAACCAGTGACTGATTTCCTTTGAAGCAAAAATTTGAACTCTGTTTGTGAACCAAACATTAAAACTATCTTACTATATTCACACAAAAAAAGCTTACTTTGTTCAATGTGACTGGATAATATGGTATCTTGTGACTTCAAAGACCAGTCTGAATCAATAAAGAATCTATGACCTTCTGGTTGACATAACCATTGTATACTTGCTGGTATTTCATCATTGCGTCCAGCACAAACATGTCTAGCACGACTCAAAAAATATCTCTGTAAAAAAAAAATGAAAATGTTTAATATATCATGTGCTATTCAGGTTAGATTATGTTTTGGTAGAATTGTAAAGAATACTTAAGGGTTATGAGAGGATCAATGGCAATTTTAACATTGGCAATGACCATATTTTAAAAATATTTTTTAAATACAATGTCCATATTTCTAAAATATTCTTTTTAAATACAATGTCCATATTTTCAAAAATATTTTTTTTAAATACAATGTCCATATTTTTTAAAATATTTTTTTTTAAATACAATGTCCATATTTTTTAAAATATTTTTTTTTAAATACAATGTCCATATTTTTTTTTAAGTACAATAGCCATATTTCAGAAAGTGAGGTACATGAGATATACAGATTATCAAGGTACAAAATAAGTTACTTACAGCCATAAACATAATTCTATTGGTGAAGGCATTTCGAACTTGTAGTGCTGTGGTACAATATATCTCAGCTAATTCCATTCTTGACAGACTATCTTTAGCTGCTTCTGCCATATTTACAGATGATATAGATAGGTTTAAACCCCACCAGACACCACGCTGAGAGTGACCTAGTAACAAATGAATTAACTTATTAGTGATTATTTTAATTCTTAAACGCCACATGCAGTTTGCCACCCTTGACATTTCTGTGCCCCTCCACCTAATGACTGAACATTTGAGAGGGAGAAGGCAGCTCTGCTCAATTTTTTCCCTTGAACTACAAGATTTGGAAATCCAGGAAAAATGACAAGTAATATTACACAATTAAATTTACTGAAACAATTTGATATTTCTAGTTTTGCCAAACAGGAATTATGAAAGATGAAATGATCTGATGTTAATCTCTAACTTAAAAATTTGACAGTCTTTTCTTCCACCATTTTCTTTCCATGCAGACCAGACAGTTGCTGTATCTTCGTTTAGAAAAGGGATAATTGTAAAATTAAATTTACTCACCACTAAGATGTAACTGATTTAGTTTATGGTAAGACCAAGCGGCATGTTTAGCAGATGTTTTAATGTCTTCTGCACTGGATCTTTTTATCAATCCTCCTGCTTTACCACATAGCCATTTACCCAGGTAGAATCTATGTAACAATTGTCTAAAACTCTGCCATAATAAACTAGAGATTATATCTAATTTAGATGTAGGTAATGGTCGACCCAATGATAGTAAACATAGTCTTAATTGGCTATTAGCACCAGAGTAGTCTCCCTGTAATGAAAAAGAGGTCAAAATGAGTATTTAGTTTTAAATGAAATGGGTTTTTTACTTCCAACTAGCCTTTTTCTGTTAATATAAACAATGCCATATAAATTTTTCAAGAACAATGCTATACAGAGTACAATGGGTTATACATTCCATTAGGTCAGGAGCATTAAGCTTCTAGATCTCATTTCCAGCTATCAAGCAAATGTTGTGCACAGTCTGTAGCACCTATAGCTGACATGACTACACAACCCATGAATTGGAGGCAAAATCCTTTGGCTTATCAAATTGTAACCATTTCTTAATGCAGCTCTTTTCCATGGTCTTTGTGTGTTAGATTTGGCTACTCTGAATATTTACCAAAGCAAACATTCTTGAACGTCTAAATCATGCCTCACTACCACAAACACTTACCCTGGATATATCAACATCAGCTTGTTTGCGATGGCGCCAATATGAGACAGTAGCACTACTTTCTTTAGTTGTTACTGGTTCCCCGAATACAAATAACTTCGCTAGTACACCAACTACTATAATACCATTCACTAGCCACATAAATAATGTAGGCATCATCCAGTCATACCAACTTATACTGTCTATAGATTACATAAAATAATTAGTATCAGATATCGTAATGTTTTAATCAAACAAGTTTTCAATTGGAGTCTATTTACGAGATTTTACCAATCAAAGCCTGTTGTCTATTATCCGTTTCTTTATAACGATGACAAATTGTGGAATAGCAAAAATGACAGACTCTTTGCACTAATATACCAGAATTCAGTAGTTTTTTTCAGGACACACTATGATTAGTTGATAATACCGCAATAGAACCGGAATATGGTAGAAAACTTGATAGATTACAATGGAGAATAATATCAGAAAAAAAAGAAGCTGTAATTCTGATTGAAATGTAATAAGCCTACCTGAATCTGTACTTTGTAAAGTTCTTCCAACATGACCCGATTCAGATGAAAAACTGGATCCAGGTCCACTTTTAAAGAAGGAATTAAATGGATTGAAGGCTAGAATGGCAAACATAAACATACAGAGAGCCATTCTAGAACGATCCATCATGCCTGATGAATGCATATCAAAACTGTCATCCATACTGTTATCCATAGGGGATCCTAAAAAATAATATAACATTTGGTATTTGATATTCTCAAAAGCACAATTCTTGCTGGATTTTGACAAAACTTATGGCATTATTCATTATAAAAGCATCTAAAACACTGGGATTCTGTAGAACAATCAGAGCACTGGAGACTTGACCATTTTTTATAAGGATAAAAATTTAGGTTCATGACAATCCTTTAACCAGCTGGTCCTTGGTCAAACCTCTCGACATTGATCTTTCCAAGATAGTAAAGACCTATTTACAGCTTGGTTGACTAGATTTCTGAGGGAAGATGACTATCGAAGGTCACCAGACTTTGCACTGAGCTATACCACCATCTGCTTAACATAACTGATACATCTGTCCTTAGTGACATTGCAAAGAAGCATGTACAAGTCTAGAACATATCTTTTGTATCCTTCAAAGAATTAAAATTTCAATAAAAATCTAAATTACAATATTTACCTGGACCATCATCAAAACCAGGACTATTAGGTGATGAATCACTGTCAAAACCTTGTGAACTATGTAGAGGTGAATTATGATCAGATGAAGGTGGTGTAAGTGGCATGGAAGGATCCACTAGATCATGAGGACTGGATAATAATTCTTCCAAATCTGAAGAACAAAATTTTAATTATATATCAGCAAAATGTCAGAGGAAAAACTGTTGATCAAAAGAAATTCGCACCATTAAAACTACAACACTGAAAAGGAAAAGACTCAGCAATAACTGTTTTGATTTTCAAGCATCATCATTAAAAAGCTAAGAAGTTATATAATAAGGACATTTGATCAATTTCAGCAAAAAAGGACACAAAAATTCTGCTTACTCTGTTTGTTAGCTGCAAGTTTCAAGGTCATATTTTCTTGTTTTAATCTGGTATTAACATTTTGTAGATATCGAACATAATCAATGGCTTTTCTTAAAATAGCAGATTTATTCAACTGAAAAAAAAAAAGATATTGACTATTAGCCACTTTTTTAAAAAAAATTGTGTAATTCTAAATTGATTTTTCATTTTCAGATTCAGGTTTTTTTTTCTAAGGTCTCTCAGAAAATATGTGTAAATTTTTATTTCAATTGTGAAATATTTGTTATAAAATGGAATCAGCATTATCTTATTAGGTGTTCTTGATAAACAATCTTTTATGTTACATTTGTTCACATAACTTTTGAGCCATGATCTCAGAACAAAATTCTCAACAAAAAGATTCTCTCACCTTAGCCTCTTTTCCAGCAACTAGGTCTTTCAGCTCAATAATTTTATCATTAATACTAAGTCGATATCTTTTCTCAATAGCATTATGGGCAGTCCTCTTCTCTCCCTTACCCTTCATTTTTGGTACTGTATTGAGTCTGTTGATAGGTACCTTGTCATTGTCGACTACTTGTACCGGAATACTAGTTAATATGGTATTACCACCACTGGTGACTATAGTTTGTAATGGTGAGGATAATGTTGGTGGTGATATGGTCGCTGGTGTATTGGTGATGGTGACAACATTTGATGTTGTTGATGCCACATTGTCATGGTTATTGCCTACTTTGATTCCAACAGGATTCTGTAACAAGAGCTGAAAAAAATCGAATGAAGATGAATTGAATATTTATATAAAAAAATCTTGAGCTTGAAAATTCATGTACCAGGAAGCTTAAATTTTTAAGCCAAGTTCTTCAATTCTATTTTCAAACTATTATGGAGGTATTAAAGAAAGGTCAATTAAGCTCACCTGTTGAAGTTGTTGTACACTTATAGCATTACTAGTTTGATTAACTGATGGCTGTTGTTGTTGTTGTACAACATTTGCAGTTGTTGAAGGTCGAGTATTAGAAGCTAAAGGCTGTTGTAAAATAAGTTTAAGTTGTTGTTGGCTTTTCGTAGTTTGATAAGAATTTTGTAGTTGTGCATGCTGTCGTAAAGCAGCAGCTTGTTGTTGTGCTTGAATTTGTTGTTGACGCTGTTGTTTTTGTTGTGTTACAAGCTGTGCTTGCTGAACAACTGCTTGTAATTTAGCTGCTGAAGTATTTAAAGTATTTTCTGCCCCACCCTTTTCACTAAGTTCTAAAATACTGCGTAAAGCAGTTGAGTTGAGATTTTCTAACACATCAAGAGCATTGTAAACTTTATCAGGATAGTTTGTTGTAGGCTCTTGTTTAACCACAGGAGTGGAATTATTTATTCCAAAGTTCACATCTTGTTTTAAGATTTGGTTATCAGTTGAAATGGTAGGTGATGCAAGGCCCAAGTCCACCCCCTGACTGATAGGTGGTAAAGATGTTGTGGTACTGAAACTGAAAACTTCATTTTCTTGCTTTATTTGGTTGACTTGACTAAGTTGACTATCAAACAAATCACAATCACCATGGATATCACTGTTTATATACTGTAAAATATCTGAAAAAATAAACAAACATTTTAGCTGGAACAAACTCAACTTAAGATTGCCAATAGGCTGATAAAAATTCCCATCAATCCAAAATTCATTAGAATATTTTCCACTTTTCAAAATAGATACCAGTGATATGCAATTGCTAGTTTTATTTTGAATATTTGTGAATTTACTGAAACTCATTATTGAGCCAAGGTGTTTAGGCAATCATTAGGATAATAATAGCCTTCATGTCCTGACCTAAACATAAACAAACAATAATACAAGCATGCTTTGGTCATTCAAATACATTATATGCTACAAGATCAATTTGAGAAGCAATCCATAGTCTTATATCATAGGCATTACCATGATTACCCTGGCCTCTGCCTCTGTGTTTATCGACTGACTACGGTGGTAGTAGTACAATTTACAAAAAATGAACCAAATTAAAACTCACCATCTACATCATTTAATCCACCATGATCAATATCTGTTGTGGCCAATAAATCAGGCCCCAGGTCGGGTAAATTAGCGGTATTGAGCGACCAGTTTAGAGGGTCAGCCATCTTTAGTGTTCTGACTGAAGGTAACACCACAAGACTTCAACCAATCATAACACTGGATTGAATCGGATGATTTTTCGTCATTCCTTATTTACATGTCTAAAAATAGATTTGACCCGGAAGCAAAATAAAAGGTTATGAATCATCCGAATCACGTGGTTAAGGAATATACTATAATTTATTGTAATTATAAGAATACAACTAAGAATCACAAACCATCTATTTACAATCATTTTTGCACCATTAGGACAAAAAATTGTATGAGCACAATTTGGTAAAGCAATTGTAAATAATATGGTCGTTCATAATCAAAGAATAGGGCACTCGGAGCATATTAACATTACTATAGCTTGATCATTCCAACTGATGGGTATGAAAATATGTTCATGTATCTTCACTTGTATCCAAAGTACAATTATACCATTATCAATTATTCCCTTGTCTTGCTAATTCTTAGCTTCTCTAAAAAGATTTAAATTTTCACCAGGCTTCAGATTTTACCATTGAGGTCATTACAAGTGCATATTGAGAAATAAATTTGCTCTGAGACTCTATATCATGTCACTGATTTTATTTAGGCTTTGACCAAACACTGGCTCTTCCAATGAATTAACTGATATGTGTAATTCCAGCAGCTAATAAATAAACAAAAGCTAATGAGTTGACGAATAATCATCTTTAAAATGTAAAGCTATTAGGCCTACTCTAATAGCCACCTTTCTTGTATTACGAAGTTTGTAAATCAAACATTTTGATTGCAATTTAAACAAAAAAATATCACCAATTTTGCTGTGCATGTAATTGAGAGCTCTGATTGGTTCCATTCCCCAGAATACAATCCAATCAAATCTTTACATCTATAAACTTCATTGATAATGGAAAGGTGGCTATTGCAGTCAAGGTATTAGACAGCTCATAATAGCTTGACATTGTGAAGATGACGAATAATATATCCATTGAATTTGAAGAAGATCAAGACAGTTCTTGAAAATTTTTGATCTGTAACATTCTCATAATAATGCATGTTTTGTTAAAAGCTGTGAGAAGTGGAATTTTGGGTTTAAAAGGGCTATGAAAAGGTGAATTTTTGGGCATTATCAAATGAGGCACTTATTCAGTTTAATATTCAATAATCAACACATATATTTAAAGAACACCTTTATTCCACTTGCATACATTTTCCTTCACATAAACATATATAGAAATCAAACAGGACTTGTCCAAAAATAGTAATATATGTATATATTATATATATATGAATACTTGTGTATAACGTCTAGAACTCCTTAAGATTGGCAATACCGACTAAAATATTGAAATAGTAAATTGGGGAAGAGTGTGATAGATCTATGTAACTTTGTCCAACTGAGCCAATGCTTCTATTAATTTTGGTTTGTGACTTTGCTGCAATTTCAAAATAATGAACATCTTGAAAACAAATTTGAAATCAGTTTTGTTTTGGTAAGATCAAATAATGGGAGGTAGATTATTTCAAATTAAAGATAAATATAGTAATGGGTCATAATTAAGTACAAATTAATTTTTGTTGTAATTTCTCTTCATGGACCAAAAAAATTTCAGCTTTAATATTTTTATATTTCTTCAAAATCTTTTAAGTTGTATGAAAATCCCCGGAACATTTTAAATTTATTTTGATATTCTGAACATCAAATGATGCATATCTTTCTAAATTAATTAACTAAACATTTCATGGATAAAAACAAGTGACCAGGTTACAGCTATCTGCATCAAGATTGTATGTACTATTACAACCACTACCCAAGTGGTGAGGAATTTGAAATTTTGAAATAAGTTTTTAAATGTAAAAAAGTATCACAGTTGAATTACTCTGATATACAGTGAGATCAGGAAGAAAAAAAGAGCCTTGTTGAATTCCTTTTCTACAAACAAGTTTTTTTGCACCATATTTTTGGACATTTACAAGAGAATCACCTCTTTAAATGGATGAAGTAGTCTAATTATTTTTCATAAAAGCTCAATATAGGCTTATCCCTATCACATTTCAAAGGTTTTAACAAAAAAGTATCCCATATTAAGATGCCTATACAAAACAGGCACATAATGGTTAAAATTTATTAGATTTCTTCAGTTGCAGGACTCTTTTCAATATTTGAAATAAAACAAAAAGGAATTCAACTAAGGCTTAAATCAAGTTATTTCTGAGACGGTTATTTTTTGTTTGTTTATAAAATAAAATAGTAAAATATAAATCATTCTAGCACTATATAGGTTATAAAAGCAAAAAACATGTAAAATAATAAGTGTATTGACAAAAAATAAATTTAATAATACTGCTTTAATTTGATATTTGAAAAAGATAAACTCAGTTTTTTCTATTTCTCTTATTTTAATAGGTTTTTACTTTCAATTGAGTTATTATTCTATAGAATTAGTCTTAAAATTAAGTTATACTTCAACAGTTCACTGTTGTTCTTCTATCTTATGTATTAAGGCAAATTAATTAATTTTCGTTGTTAATTAGCAAATATAAACAAATATTTGTGCCTATGGGCCATGAATAAATACAAACATAGATAATAATTTTGCTCTTTTGGTTATAATTTGATTTAAATCATAGGGTACAATATTGTACACAATGGAAGACACTACGAATACTTTGTAAGCACTTACAGATATTAAAGGGAAATGTCTAAATTTTGAATTAAGGCTTTTATCTTCTAAACTTCAGTTAAGGGATGTGTTTCTATTCTTATGCAAAATTTGAATCAAAAATATCCGAAAAAAAAAAAATATATATATGAAAAAGCAAAAATGTGTAAAATCAGGTTGCATATTATGAGCATAAAAATATTATCACAATATATTACATACATAAAGATAAAAAATAAGGAAAATAAATGGACTATTCTTACATCAAAATATTTTATAAAGAAACCAAAACTATCTTTTTGTTTCTTTTCAATAGTAAACTGTTATAAGTATAGGTCGTATTGCCAATCTTAAGGGTGGAATATTATGGTAAATTCACATACATAATATACATGTATGAAAATTTCCCAATGTAAATTGTATAATCAATGCAAATATTGTAATTTGAATAATATTCAACATATAAACTAAGGAATGGCAAAAAAATAAAAAATAGAAAGCACATGCTTTGCTTTGAAAGTTTATAACAAATTCTTAATATTATCAAACTGTATTTTAACATTCAACAAGAAAAAATTCTCAACATCTCAAAAAAATAAAAAGTCAAAATTAACTTTTAACGAAAATCTCAAGTTTCTGTGGAAGTTCTGTGCATAACAAACTGATTTGTGATTGGTTTGTAGAAAAACACCAGATATATGGAATATTAATGCTTTTAGAAAGGGGTGCAAAATATTCAACATTGATAAAAAGTCTTGATTTTTGACTGCATAAAGAACTACTTTGGTTGTCTACAGTAACTATCATTTGTACAATCTGGCAAAGATATTAAGCACATCAACTAGCAATCCATATTAATTATGATAATTCAATTGATAATAATCACACAAACAAGTTTTTTTATATCATTTCTACTTCCATGAGCTCTGCTACAAATCACTGGACTTGTTTAAGCTTTGATATCAGATGTGCTCAATATCATTGCTTCGCCTTATTTCTGCAATTTACAGCAGTTAATAGCATTGCTATGAACCCAGAATTTATGTCTTTAGTAAAGCAGGGCATGTTCTTCTTTCTGAAACACCATATTCTACTGCCATTTAATTGCTGCTTGGCTTCACTCACCACACTAACGACAAAAGTCACTCGTAAATTTTGTGAAAAACAGGGGATTAAACTTTAACAAAACATGCATTTAAAATTTCTATACACTAAAAAAAATTCAGTAATAAGTCTTCAAAAGTATTCCACACAGAACTGATAAACTATAAAATTCGGAATGTTTAGTGCTGAGGCTGAGGTAAGAGTATTAAAAGTTTGGCATTATTCCATTGTCTAAGAGCAGACAGACAGCAGCGATTTCCAATCTTAAGATTACTGTACTTTGCACCCCTTAGAATATTAAAGCTAATGTAACCTAAACATAGTATAAAATCATGGGAATTAAACATTAGAACTAAATAAGGGTTTGGTTATAAATAAAAAATAAGCTAAATAATATATAATGGAAAAAAAAAAAACATTGCAAAACATCAAATTAAATATATATGTATAGATATATAATTTGTATATGAAAAGTGTTATTTAAGAGTAAAGTAGTTTCAAAAATAATACATAATAATACCAAGTAAAAAAGAAAATCGGCTAAGAGGCCAGGCCATATTAAACTTATCATAAACTATAATTCAACTTGGCTAAATACTGGAAGCAAAGAGGGGTTTATTATTTCCCTCTTGATGTCATTCAGCTTTGCTAACCTCTGCTTATTCGAAACCAATGATCTAAAATATCTACAGCATTTCTGAAAAATTTTACAAGCAAATAATCTAACTTGAAGAATCCAGGATTTATCCAAGAATGAAATGAAACTCTTTTCAATCTATTAGATTAAAAAACACAAGCCAGAATGCATAGCAAATCTTTCATACTTCAATACATTCACAGCCAATCTCTTAATAGTTTAAGCAGAGGGTAGCTTGCTGATCAAAAATGATGAAAACACATCACTCAAATTGAAGCCAATTAAAAACAAACTAAATATAATAGAAGAAATAAACTAAAAGCTGACAAAAATAAGGAAGGAAAACAAAATACAGTTAAAGAGTACCTGGTAAAATTATTTAAATCCCTGTCTTGAATATATACGTTTATATAGATGATAAAAGTGGGGAATACTTTTATAATATGGCATAGTTGATGGCAATTTCTGAATGACAAATCCCAAAAACAAACTTTCTTGGTTCTAAATGAATACCCATCAAGAAATCAAGTTTTCAAAACCAGGCGGAATGGGTTCCAATCCTCAAGGTAAAAACAATTCTGATGTCAGTGCCAGTGCTTTTGAGATTTTAAGATACAATGTTTATTCTTGCCACCCAAGAAATTACAATCAAATATGGGTAGCTTATCTTTATATCCTCTCTTTACTTATTACTGTTAGCTTGGTTTACATATTAGTTACATGTTTACATGCAATAATATATCATTAATTTTAACTAAAGTATGTTTACATTTTCACCGAATATAGAGGATTCCTCAAATTTTAAAGTTCTTACTGTAACCATCTTTAAGTTTTGAATCAAATAGGTCCAGCACCGAATATAAATTTATAGAAAATTGTTTGAAAATCACTGTTAAAAGGCCTCAATGTTTATCAGAAACAACTGTAACTTCTTATATTATTATTTCATTGCCTCTAGGATCTCAAGTTTTTTGTTGTAATTCCTGAAAAATCAGTGCAAATTCCAATTTTAGTCAAATGTTATATCTAAATCTTTCTCTCAAATTACCTGGAATTAAACAAAAATGGTTCAAATAGAAGCCAAAAATGTTTCATTACACAAAAGGTTTCTTGATATCTTAGAGTATATTGAACTAACAACAATGGATTAATTCAAACACCAATATTGTATCATTCTCCATAATGCTCATAACAGTATCACAAATAAATAATGCTTTTAAATCTGAACTTGGCACTTAACAATAACATGTAACTTTGAGAGTAAGTCAACTATCGTCTTAGCTTATCAATTCAACAAATATAATAAAAAGAATTACATATTTAAATGTATACCTTAAGGGATGACAAAAAAATCGAAATTTTAAAACTTGGTCAAAATGAGGCTTTGTTCATCATGGACTTACCTGGTGTCATAACTATATAACAGATTCCCTCTATAATCCAATAAATCCATAAATCTAAGTAAAAATTCGTTAAACGAAGTAATTTTTCAATAATTATTTAGTTTAATGGATATAGCGTCTTATGTCGAGATTCTATTCTTTAATCATGATACCTGGTAAGTCCAACTGATGAATATATACACTCGTTGACCAAGTTTGAGACTTAAATTTTATGTCGATTTCAAGAGAGATAGCATCCTTTTAACGTAAAGAATGAGAGGGTATAAGATAAGAGTTAGCATTGTAGACTGATATATATATATGTATATAAGTAAAATATAAAGTAATTGTTTTGGTATAAATTACCCTTTTATGCTATTGGAAGAAACAACTGTCTTCACTACATTACTCAACATAACAGACATTATATATAAAACAGGTATAATTGGAGGAGATATGATTTTAAGAATTTATCAAAACCAATTTCTATATTCAAACACTAAATGCAAAATGTTCAAAACTTCAAAAAGACTTGGAAAATAGCAATAAAAACATCAAAAATCAAAACATTTTTGTTATTTTTTTATATTTTATATTTTTCAATTTTTTTTTTTTTTTTTTTTTAGTTTTTTTTTAAATATTTTTTTTTGTTAGGGGATGGGGAAGGGACAGTATATTGTGTTGATTTAAAATTTGGAATATGATCTATAGGACTATTGAAATAAATGATATTGTACACTATTTTTGTAGTGAGATTTAGATAAGATGCAGGGTGGGGGAGGGGAGGGGACATTTTTTTTTAATATATATTATGATTTAACTTCAAACTGGAATACTTGAAAGAACATGAACACCAGTAAACAATCTAACTAATAAAGAAAAGCTCGTTGTGAATTTCAAAACCCAGATTAACATGAAAATCCAAAAAGAAAACTTAAATTTGAAGAAATTAACATTCTCTAGAAATAGGTGCTCAAAAGGGAGCAGCATTTTCCTAGATATACTAAACTGCAGTCGAAAAACTAGTTTGATAAAATATATTTCTTCTGGAATATGTTTGAAAACTAAAATATATTCACACTTGTTTCTCAACGCCCTAAGGTTTAATATGATAAATGTTATAATGGCAAAAACCAATATGAAAAAAATAACGAGAAAAACAATTAACAATATATATATATATATATTTAGTTTTTTTTTTTGATTAGATACATATGCTAATATAAGTATGGTGGGTAAAAGTCTAGGATGGTCTTTGTATACAAAAATCTCCACATGAGCAAAATTTAGCATCTACATGACTTTACAATATATGTATATTTCTATTTATATTTTTTGGGAATCCTGGACAGGCTAAAAATGTACTTTTAGAAATAAACTAGAAAGTTTTTTTTTATACAGCGTCCAAGGTTTCTACTCATATGTCCAAAACCTTGCAAAATTCTACAAGCTAGTTTAGGCTCAGAAGCATTATTAACTATTGCTTCAGGTATGTTAACTTTGGAAGAAAGTTTTTTTTTTTTAGTTTTATTTTAACCTGCCCAAGGATTCAATTTTTTTTTTCATTTTGTGATTAAAAATGGCAAAATCTAACAAAACATTAATATTAACATTTGAATAAAAAAATATTTAATTATAAAGCTTGTTTACACTATGAACACCAAACAAAATTTTTTTTTATTATCAGAAATGGTACTACTAGAATGATTCAAATGATAAATTTTTTGCCTCCTTTAAAGTTTTGTTAATTTTCTTGATGCTCACATAGATATTGTGTTCTATTAAAGAGATGAGGTTCATCTAATAAGCTTGTATGGTAGTTTACCAAATAACCACGGTTTCTCTATACCATTCTAATATTAATGTGAGCACCACAATATGTACCTATTTCTTGCCACATTATTTATAAACCAGATTTTCAATAAACTAAATAGCACTTGCCAAAATAAATAACCTCAAACCATTGGTTTTAAACCCAAAATCACATAAGAACTTGCCTAAAATTTATAAATTCAATAACCAAAGGCAATAATCAATAAAAGTAAATTAAATTAGTAACAAAACTATCTTTCATTGTTAATTTAAAAAAATCAAAAATGGGGAAAATATTTCTATTATCCCTTTAAGGCACACATAGGACAAAAAAAAAAGTCATGTTTTGACTGAGTATATATGACTAGAAAATAAGCAATTTGCATATATTATATTTGTGTTTGTATATGTCAAAATAGATGTATAAGGAAAAAAACGAGACCAAGATATCAATTTTTGTTATAACGATTGCTACAACGTCCCATTCAACAGAAAAAAAAATAAAACATGGCAAAAAAAAAATTATTTTTTTTAAAAACATGTGACTAATACTAGTGATTGCTTACCGCTCTTAAATGTATTAATTTTTCTATTTTTGCTTTTTTTTTTTTAATTTTTTTTCTCAAATTTTTTGAAAATTAATACAAGTATAAATCATACATTTAAAGGAATATAATTTTGGACTTCTAAACAAAAAAAAAAAAAAAAAACGAAAGAAAAAAAACAAACAATATTTGTAAATATAAACTGAATATAACATGGGTGTTAGTTTACTATATAACAAATTTTTCTGAATCAAACCCCCAATCAGATAACATAGTAAATATATAGATATATTTCTTATATATATAATAATAATTGGCACATAGTTTAAGTAATATATAAAGTATTCAAAACGAGCACATGATGATTATTCTTGGCAAGTGTAACGACATAGCCTTCTGATGTTATTTTCAATCCACAACATCGACTTACTTTAACATAGGGACACTGGAACTCTCCAATCAGAGAGCCATCTCGCTGGAACACGCCCACATGGAAGCGGTTGCCATGACTATCTCCAATCAAAACATCCCCGTCATCACTGATATCAATACCATTAGGGTAGTTAGTTATATTTTCACAACCAATTCTTCTCATAAATTGACCTTCTTCATTGAAAACTACCACACAATGTCCCTGAAAATATCCGTAAAAATAAAGATGGCAAATTCCCTAATTACCTTTAATATCTTTTTTTTAATCTGATATTCCTGCATTTTTCTTGAAGTTGAAAATGCTGTTTCAACTGGCTTAAAGAGTTGGTAAACAAGAATTTATGGAAATTTGTAGTAAGACCAACCTTGAAATCACACACAAAATATTCTGAGCCACTAACAGCTATATCTGATGGTTCTCTCATATAATCACTACAATCAAACCATTTGAGTAAATCACCAGATTCAGCAATACAAAATACTGTTGGTGAAACACTATCTACAGCTGCAATATTGCCTGTAACAATTATAAAATATTATTGCTGCGTTCCATACACAGCACTGAAATAGTGTTAACAACTTCCTTTTAAATCCAAACACAAAAGTGCAAAGTTCAAAAGTGGTGACCGCTTGGGCTATGTTCACACTTTATAACCAAGGTGGACGACAATGTTATGCAAGTGGAATGGCCATATTTCATTTTTTTTTCAACACGGAAATTCATCTCATTTACAAGGTAATCATGAGAAGTATCGAACAAGGTATTAATCACCAGATGTACAGAAATATGATGACAGACTAAGATTCATAACACATGTTTACAATTCCCCAACCATGATTAACAATGTCTGATTCACAGTGTATGAAATACAGACTTTACCTGCAGCTGTAATAGCAAGTCCAGCTACAATATCAATATAGCGAATAGCTATCTTCTTGACAAAATGACCATTCTTAGTAAATATCTGCATTCTTGATCTTTCATTACCACGATCACAAACAACGTATCTAGCAGAGGCTCTCATTACTGCTACCTTACGTGGATACCATAACTGACCTTCTTCACGACCTGAAGAGTGATACATATAACATAAGTTAAATGTGATTTAGTGGATGGTTAGCTGAAGCCTAAAACTCAATTGATGATTCTTCAATGTGTATGTCTTCGTCAAAAGAATTGACAGAACTCAATATCCATTTGGTTTATCTGGCATAATCAAGCCTGACAGGCATTATTGGCTTGTGTGCAAGAGTTCCAATTCAATTGTAGTACCCTTCTATATAAACGCAAAACTTAAAGGGATTCTAAAGAGGTTTTCTAAAAATTTTATGTGTATCAGGGACACTGATAGCATCAATTTGCATCGTTCAAATTTTCATTGAGAAGTCGGTTGTTCCTGCGATTCCACTAAAACTAAGTGTTTTATGACTTCACTAATCACGAAAAATGCTTTATCACATAAGGACTGCGAGATAAGTGACATGATCTTCAATGGGTAAAGGTACTGACTCCTTACCATTAATATCTTTGAATTACATACAATTTATTTGGACTCTGATCTCCTACTTGTCTGTACCAGATAGAGCTCAGAAGACGACATGTAAGAACATATCAATTGGTATAAAAGTTTTTAATAGCAAACAAACCATACCTGGTATACCAAACTGATATTTAAAATCACCAGTCTTATCAAAAACTTGAATTCTATGATTGTTAGTGTCAGCAACTATTATGTCTTGATCAAATCCCAAACAAAAACCATGTGGTGAATTAAACTGGCCTTTCCCAGGGCCTAGCTGACCAAATTTACATCTGAAAGCAACAATTACAAGACCATTTTCTTTTGATTAGCTCAGATATCAATGCACATCAATGCAAATTAGTGTTGACCCACCTGCCAAACAGCTTCAACAATATCAGCAATACTTCCATCATAATCAAATGTCAACACTGTCTATGGCATTCCACAAACACAACTTATTTTCCATTCAAAAAGCAACTAATTAGTGAACAACAGAAAAAATTAGTTAAGAAAGGTTACCTTATTTGCATTGAGCTGATCTGTTCACCACGTCTAATTGGTGGATATGTGAAGGTAGAAGCATCTCCTATCGGTGTGGTCATTCCAGATTTCCTGTCCACTTTCTGCCATGTTCCTGAACAAAAAATTTCATTTCCTTAAATATATGACTACGCTTTAAGTTCTTCCATTTGACAAAGACTGTATATTTTGTAACATATTGTCATTTTGAAAAGCTTACAAACAAGAAAACCAAAAAAAGACATTAAGTAGCCATATTTTATCAATTACAAAGGTACAGTATTATCAGAAAATGAAACTAATGAGTCATCTTGAAAAATTATCTCCAAGAACAACATACCTATATCTCCACTCATTCCACTACCCATCATGTTATCCATGTTACTATTATTAGCTACAGCCATACTTCTCATACCACTAATAATTTTATTAATTCCACTCAATGACTGGTTCTGGGGATTCAACAAATTGGCCAAGTTCTCAATATTACTACTTTGGACACGTTGACCAATGGGCGTGAGGGAGGCCAGGCTGGTAGGTGATAATTCAGCATGTGATTGTGGGGTCATGGTACGACTACCACCATCTGATGATGTAGATCCTGAATGAGTGGTCATTCCACCAGATAAACCAGCCATCAGTGGGACTTGGCCAGCTGAAATATAAAAACATGGTTATCAAGAACCAATTTTTCCAAAAAACCAGTGAACACTCTCATTAAAATCCATCAAAGTGATTTCTGCTTCAAGCCTTTAAATTCATGTACAGACCAAATAGTTGTATCAATGTGCTGAGCAGTACAAATCTGAACATGAAAGATTCATTCATTCAATAAGGACATTTCAAAGTATTTGTGTTTGAGAATTTAAACAAATTATGAAATGCTGGTACATACCTAAATTTGCCATTGCTGCAATATTGATCATAGTAGCACTATTATTGCTATTGGTGCTAGCTGCATCACCTACAGATATACCACTGTCAGACATGGCTGGACTGTGAGAATTCCTAGATAAACTGGTATCATGTAGAGGATGTGACTGGCCAGTGAGAGCACTTGGGATATTGGCAATAATAGATGATAGACTCTGTAGATTACCACTCAATGAGACAGGTGGAAGAGAGCCCATGTTGGACATAAAACCAGCAGTAGAGGCCGTCATCATGGCTTGATCTGGACTTCTCACTCCTTGAGATAGAAATCCTTCATTTTCAAATGAAGAATGTAGAGGAGATATCAACTGATTTTCACGCTGAAATAAGAAATGAAGATGTCTAATTACAGTTACCAGTTCCCTCATATTTTCCAGACATCCTTAAGGTGTAGGAAAATACACGACGTCATGAAGCCACTTGTCCCTTCCACTCGTACAAATCATAGTAATCAAACTGATGCCTTGTGCTGGCAATATCAAGAAGATTGAATTTGGTTCTATTTTGTTAACTTTCTTGAGCTCGAGGCCTGGAACTTTGATAAGTTCCCAGTTAGCGAACAAGTTGTAATTTTTCAGAGTGTTAAGTCAATGTTGTAAAGGATTAATGAAATTTGTTGGTTTCATAATATGCAGCCAACAGTCAAGAGCTTACCTTTTGATCTTCAGGATTTGAAAAGGTACCAAAAGTTTGATTGATCATCTTCTCAAAAACTGTGGGATCAGTTTTAAACTCAATACTTAGGTTTGGTTCTACTGATGGAGAGTTGTTGATCAAGGACAGGAGCTGTGTGGTAATGATGCGCTTTAAACTAGCAATTTGTACAGAATTGCCATTTTTAAGTACATGTTCAGTAAATTTACAACTATCTTCCACTTTATCCACCATATTGTTAATATTATGACATAACCCCATCAAATCTAATTCATGATGAGAATGGATTTCATCTAATTCTTCCAGAAGAGAAGTCTAAAATACAGAAATGCATCTAGAATAAAACTTCTGAAATTAAACTAAATGAAAAACATCTTTTAGGAAATGCAGTCAGTTAATAATCTCTTCAGCACATTGGAAACTATTGCATTTTTATACCATGCTTCACTATGGCTGGTAAACCCCATATTAAGTATCAAAGTAATAATCATTCAATTTGACCAAACTGGTCCTTCTTCCGATTTTTAACTGCAGATTGTTTTCTTTTATGTAAGACCTGCAGGAAAAGGGGTTGACAATCCAAAAGCATCCTCTCCACTTATGACTAAATTGAAGCCAGTCAAATTCTAGATAATAAGGGAGGAAGGCTGAAACTGGGCAGACTCTCTAAAGCACTGGCACAGGCGGGTTAGGTAGCAAGCATTGACCTCCCTGTAAAGTAAAAAGAATGTTAATACTTCATCTTTACCTTTTTCTTTTCAAGAATTGCTTTGTAACTTTGGAATGTTTCTTCTATGAGACTCTTGGCATCTTCTTGTTGGCTCTGTAACTCTGACAGAGCTGATTCTGCTTTCGAGGCAGCCAAGGTACATGGCTCAATCTTACTGAGACACTCTTTACGTAAACTCTCCAACTCATTCTTTAACAATTCTTCAACATCCAAAATTTTCTCATAATTATGGTCTGGTTGTTTGTGATCACTCACCATGCATTCGCTACATATAGCAGTCTGAAAAATATACATCATCAGTTATTATACTTTATAATGACAAGGATGGTATATTTCAAAGTAACAGCTGTTTGTTTATGAATTCTAAATTAATTTTGAAACAATCTGTAAATGTAAAATAGTGTTGAGGTCTCTAACAAAGGTCAATGAATCCTATAAACCTTCTTTGAAATATAATTGTCAAAAAATACGCCGGGTATAACTACTCAAACTTCATCTTGTTTTGGAGATCAAGGTATGATTGAACCAATGAATGACTAATGTGTTACTTTAAAACATGCCAAACTAATACAGGCATGATTCTGGCTAATAAAAAAAAGAACGGAAAATTTGAACGTCAAGACACCTCGAAAAATTGATGTCCTTTCTACACAAGTAACAATGTGCAACCCGTTTTCTGTTAATTTTCCTGATAAATCGACCAACAAGTTCTTTGTCAACTTTCCGCTCCAGCCATTCCAATTTCCAAACCGTTATCTAATAATTTTGTGTCAAAATCGCGTTTAACAACATTGGAAGCCATGCTGCTGTTGAAAGCGACAATGATATTAAATACTGCTGTGTAATCCGATCTTTCATTGGGAGATAGGAATGTTTCAACCAATCATATCGCTTTTTACAACTTGAAGTAGAATATCAAACCGGAAACAATCATACAGAGTTGTCTATTCTTGCAGGAAGAAAAGACAACTCTGTACAAGAGTTTGATCAGACTTTTGTGAAAAAAACGGATTCGATCAAAAAACTTTAACAAAAAAATCGGAATCGGACAAGACGAAAAGTGGAATTCCGCTTTAAAACGGATGAAAATCATGTCTGCTAATAACTAAAACCAATAATATTATAAGATTATATAATCTAAGCTTACTCAAGATTTAATAATTAATACATAGTCTATAGCACAGTATAAATAACTTGGTTTTTAACAATATTCAATAATTACATAAGAAATTAGCACTAACCTCACAAGAATGACAGAAATATTTGAGATTTTCTGAAGGATGTACAGTGCAGTAAATGGGCTTGTGTATAGATACCCCATCACTACCTTGCACCCCCAACTCATCTAATGTCAAAACCTGAAACACAAATGATAGAATAATACTATAATGACATTTAACATATTAATCTGGTTTGTATAGGCTGTTTTTTCTTCTAGAAAACAGCAATTGCCATAGAGCAATTAGGAAACAATTCATATAAAATATAGTCAATAATGACACCATGATTGATCCAAATTTGAAAGAATTCAACATATAACTTGTAGCAAATATGGATTTGAGCCATCTTACAAAAACCGTTAAAATCGCCTTCTTTAAAAACCATTTTCAATAACAAAATACCTACCTTATGGTTATCAAAACAGCGCATAAATCTGTGAGCTGTCACACAATTAGGACAAAGAAAATTAGCACAATCATAACAACGTGCAACTGCTTTTTCTTTTGCTTTACAGCTCGTGCAGATTATATTTTCTGCACCACAGACATCCAATATATCTGAAATAACATGTTCTGTTTGCAGATCCGACACCCCATTCATGGGCACTTGAGTCTCCTGTTCGCATTGTGGACATTTAATTTTATGTGGCTGCACTCCTTCATCAGAGTTTTCTTTTAATAATTCCTCTAGACATGCTTCACAAAACACATGAAGGCATGTCAAGATCTTTGGTTCGGTTAATTTCTTAGAACATATAGGACATTGATGTTCTTCATCAACAGGAGCAGGAGAAGATGCAGGAGAGCTTTCTTGATCTGTAAGAGGTGTGTCTTCTTCAGATGATGTCATTTTTCATTAATTAACCTACAAATAGAAAAGTAAATGATTATCAAACTACTACACCTACCTACCCTAATAAATACGCTGACATGGATTTACATTTCTAAACTGTACGGTATATGATATATAGAATATATGGCAGAATTTCCAAACAGACACATCCAGCTAAGGTATTTATCAAAAACAGTTCGGGCTCACATATACAAAAGATTTTCAACAGTATTTACTCAAAATAAAACTTTAAAGCAATACATTATCTGACTGTTTCGTTGTGTGTATACTTTAGGCCAGACAATCATACCAAACTATGTATTTCTGTTACATGGAAATACACAAAACTGTAGTTCACAATCATTTTGAATCTCTAGCTCGACCGAATAAGTTGAATTTTGAAAACGGCTAGAATATTTCAACTAAGCCTTCTAATATTAATAACATGACTAAATACACAGTCTGTTGACTGTCAAGTTTACCAGTATCATAATGTACCGTACATCAGAATATTTCAAACAACTTTTGAATTCTGTTTTCTGTAGCCTCTAGCTTACACGTTAAGTTTACAGCAATACCACTAACCACAAATTGCTTAACGACCAAAACACAAAATTAATGTTTAAAGTTTTAAAACTCCGAAGCGATCTATAAACTACAGACAATTACTTTGAAAAGAAATCAATTACACTGCAATTACTTTTTCATGGTTACATTACTATCAAGCTAAAATAGAAAACATGTAATGCAATTGAACACAAAATATATTCAATGTATTTAATTAACAACTGTCCAAATGATGAGATATTTCATAATGGTTGTCTTACTGAAGAATATTAGTTAGTCTGCGTATAACATGACTGTCTGGGGACTTTACCACAAAACAAAACTCATTCAATCCAGTATCTTATTCAGTTGATTGAAAAATTCAGCCAAAAAGGCAAACTCTTAGACACAACCCTGAAAAATGGCTGGTTTGCTTTCAACTTCCTTCTCCACCTAAGATCTATAAATAGTTCTCCAGCCAGCTACCGTTTGACACAGATCTAAATGTACATTTTTAGACCTATTGCTTTTCATAATATGCTAGATCTAAGTAATTCAATATAGTCTAGAAATTAAATTATAAATTGCAAAGGAAAGAATAAAACAATAAACCTTTACTCTTATGACTTAAATCTGTATTTACTTGGCGCATTTCGTTCACAGACAAACTGCTAAATCATTTTTTGATGCAGGTGGAAATTCAGTGGTTACTACGAGAATAAAAATTCCTATACATGCGCGCGCATCCAAAACAGAATCCGCCCACGAGACTGTCTATGGAAGGAGACTTTACTAGAAAGATCCAACCAAAATAAATCCCATCCTTGCAATTATCAGAGCAACGTATCCGAAAATGTTTCACGGTGTACTTCCTAACCATCAAAAAGGTCCATACAATTCATTTATTTTTCCTACAGAGAAACGGTACAAGTAAAAAACGAAGGTCAACCACTTTTCGCTTCTGACAAGCATATTTTTGTGAGCATAAACAGCTTTAAACCTTAAAATGATATAGATAACTCATTCTATGAATACTTACATGGAATGCATATATAAATATCCAAACGTTTAGAAGATTACTTTCTGATCTTTATGGCAATAAATGTGGATTTCTTGTTGGAAGATTCATTCCCGCCATCTTTAGATCGATAAGTATCTAAAACTGCTCATGCGCAAACGGCACGTGTCTGGGAAGGGAGATAATGATACAATAATGAATTCAATAAGACAACATCTACGCGACACAAGCATAATTGAACGTGAGGAAGTCTGAACAAATTTAATAAGGAATTCAATAATATTAAACCCTGTACCTTTCTACAAGCTTAACTTCTACAGCTTTAACTATTTCAATTCAACAATTGAAATGCTTGAAAGGGATTCTGATTTTTATATCCCCACATGTAGGCATTACACGTAGGCCTATATTGCTGGAACCCTTTTTGTCTGTTTGTTTGTCTGTTCACAATTTTTGTAAACATGCAACAGGCCAACAGTTTTTGAGGAATTTTCTTGAAATTTACCGGCGCTATTACGTCTATTGTTAAGATTTTCAAATGTCTATTCCAACCTGAAATGGAGTAAGGCCTACGACCCTTGCAAGTTTTTGAAATTTGTTCTTGAAATTCTTAGTTTTAAAATTCTGTGGTAACTTAAGGTAGATCCCTATTACATTTCAGACGCGTAGCTAGGCTACTTGGACAAGTAGACACGTCTTAAATCTAATAAAAGACGCTTAGTGAAGTACTGCAGATTTTCAAATGCAGAAATCTTGAGGATGGAAACATCTTTCGACTGTGAATTAGCTGAATTATAAGAGAATAAGCAGCAGAATTCCAGTGACCGATCAAAAGATTAAAAAGTCTTTTTATACGCCCACATGAAATGTGGAGCGTATATTGTCGTCACCAATGTCCAGTGGCGGAGCCAAAGGTGGGGCAGCTGCCCCCACTCACAGCCCCGAAAGCAAGTTTTCCGGGCAAAAATCTCAGATATTTCGCCCCCTCCCCCATCGGACGTAAACCTGGCTCCGCCACTGGCCATGTCCGTTCGTCCGCCCGTCCGTCCACAATTGCTCGTTAACACTAATTCTTAAAGGATGAACCCTATTGAAAATTAAAAAAAAATCGAAAAATTATTAGTATGAGTTATTTTGCCCTTGTTCCTGAAGACGCGTTCTAGTTTTAGCTTGTAAACACAGAAGGCCCAATTCTTGACAGATTTTGACGAAACTTGGTAATATTATTCAGTTTCGTCCCCAAAAAGTTCTAAAGAAATGTACGACTGAAGGTTGAATATTTCATACGGGTTATTGTTACTGTACTGCCAAATATTTTTGTTTAAAATCAAAGCTGCCAGTGGTCGTATTACTTTTCCTGGCAAGCTATCTTTTTGTTTATCCAGACTGTACATACATTTATGATTGCTTAAAACCCTTAATTATATGCAATAAGAACATAATGATATGATTAAGGATACAAATGAACACGATAATTCATTAGAAACATCAAATCAAAAAATTTGCTTAATTTGACACTAAAAAATAAGGAAACCCATCTTTAAGTGATGAATACCAAACGTTTCTTAAAAAGGTGGTAACGAATTTGCTTTAGATACAAGATGTGGAATGTAGAAATCTCATTCTCAATCTCATCACATATATTTTGGTTTAGAGAAAAATCCGAAGCTTAAAGTGCTGTAATATAGCAACTTCAGAGGTGTGTACCTTCAGTGCAAATTTCAACTTTACATCTCTGATAGTTTTCGAACGACAGCCGATTTTAAAGTTTAACCCCAACCTGTGCATCTAGATTGTATAGGCTGATTGCAAATCCCACCCCACCCCATACTAAATGGGGCATACCTTCACAAACTTTGACCTGAGAGTTATAATGCTTGTTGCAAATAAAAGTTTAAAAAAGTCATGGAATTGTCCATGACAGGAACTTGAAATTTGGAACAAAACAACTTCAGATGGGTGTGTACCTTCAGTGCAAATTGCAACTTTACATCTCTGATAATTTTCGAATGGCAGCCTCTCGAAGTTTTGGTCTTAATCCCAATCTGTGCAACTTGACATAGGCTGCCTGCTGACCCCACACCCACACTAAAGAGAAGAGTAGTATAGCCTAATGGTTGTTGCAAACAAACAGGTCCCGTGTCTATTTCAGAATAATTCAGAAATTAGAAAAATATAATAGAGTTTTTACTTTGCCTATATTTCTCTAACTGAAGAAATAGCTTGTGTTTGTGTCGCCTTCAGTAGCATTGATTGTTTTGCTTCTCAATATCGCCCCCCTTACTTTTTTCATCCTCAAAATGTTTCAGTTGACTTTACAATTTAGTCAGTAAGAGAGAACTATGTATCTGATTATTTGCAATCTTTGCAATCTGTGTAAGCTATTTTGTATTTGATAAATTTTTGCGTATTTCTTTTTGTGTTTTTCGTATTTAATTTTTGGTTATTTTACGAAATTAATCCTGAGAGGTTCTTTAAAGTTATACTTAAAGTTATTCCACCATGCAAATGGATTGCTCTGTAAAGGGGTTGTTACACATCTTGGGGGTGTCGATGGCGGCAATGGCGGAAGAGGTGTGTCTGCTTCGCAAGAATTTTGTTCACTAACATGCACAATGACGACATTTTCTTCTTGGTTTTTTTTACGGTTGAGTCTTCATCAACGCGAGTAGATTCAGAGATCGAGTTAATGAACTGAAAAGTTTTGTCGTCTTGATTTCTTAGATATCTGTTCATGGTCACTTGAGCAGTTCAAACTTACAGCCTGAGTATTGGTCGGATTATTAAGAATAGAGTTTTCTGATGGGAGTTCATTTACTGTGCTATTAATATCATCTTCAAAATAGTCACGCACTCTATTTCCAAATTTGATTTTGATGAGAGTGGTACACTTGACGTCTCTCTTACTATTTTAAATAGTTTTAAATCTATCGTGGTAATGTATTTTCACTTCTTCTATTTCGCTTTAGGATATTGGAAACTTTTTCCTCGAGATGCAGATGTCAGAAAAGCACTGGGACTACTATTTAATCATATCATTTACTTACAACAGTTATAATACAGCCTGGTTGTTGTAATCTTATAAATGATATGGAGGAATAAAAATGAAACACAATTTTCAGTTTGAAAAAATAATTTATCACGTAAATACTACGTCAAATATACACAATACGATGCTACATCATTCTGTTAAAACAAGGTGGAAAATGAGACCAGAAATAAAATGGTTGTGGTCGCAGTCACAGTTCCCGTAATCATTATAGCGTTAATCAATTTTTTGTTAACCTCGACCAACCAACCACCTTCTGACGTTTAGAATGAACTCAATTAGAAGGGAAGTAAATCCTTGAATGAGCAAAGTGGTCGAATTCTGTAATCAATGCAGGTCAGTATTTGAACATACACCAAAGCAGCTGAACTGGTAGATGAAGGTAGACAACCTCGTAATTCAGCTAATAGAATAGTACTTGGACTCACACCACTAAAACATTTTATTGTAATCCGTGCTTTTTTATAAATTCTCTTGCAAAAATAAGGAGTTATTTGCATGCCTATTTATATCTAATTTTCAGTCTAGATTTGAGATTTGATGTCTGAAATTGAATTTTCTTTTGGTGATTAATTGAGAGATTTATAGGCAGAAGGATAATTATAGAAATAATACGTTGTGTGAGCAATAATTATTCAGTGGTTCCACTAGGCTTTCCCAACCCCTCATTTGACCATTATGCAATACTGAGATAAAACGTGCAAAGTTTGTGTGCAGTGTCTTTAAAATCATTCACAGTCGCACATTTTCAATTTCTTGGACAGCCATTCTATTTTTACGTTTTAATGATAATCTTCTTAACACTTTTCCTTTCTTCATCTCATTGACTAAATTATCCACTATTTTTCTGTTATCCAAAACAGCACCTAGTTTATCCATATTGTGTTTCTGGGAGCCCATATCCCCACCTGTAACATAGAAAGTCCAACTTAATGAAGGCCATGTAACGGTGTCTTGATTGAATGGAAGCTTAACGGTTACCATCATTTGTTGTGTGCTCTAATTGACAATGGGTACACTACATTGAATACTCATTATATATATAGTACCTTTCTTGACCAGCGAGCTATACCTGGACCTAACCTACGATCTCATTGTTCACCTAATAGCTGGATAGGTCAACCACTGTCTTCTGACAGCGAAATCTATCTGATCTCATTCACTAAATCTTATATTCTCAACTGACATAAAAGAACTGGTTGGTCTCCTATGATGACTTGTGTTGTAAGCTTGACGTAGTTCCACGATATAAGGTGAAATGCATAAAAATCTTACTTTTTCGTTTTTCTGCCAATTCTTCCATGGCTTTTCGTCTCATTTCCACTTTCTTTGCTTGTATGTTCCTTGCTTCTATTTCCTTCAAATATACAAGTAAAATTTTGTATTGAGTCATGTTTTTCTGAAGATACTACATTCCAATAACGTTCTGACCAAGTAGCATCTTAAGTTGTCTAATACTATAATGGAGTACTTTCGTGACAACTAATGTGGTCATGTAATAATTATGTTGGAGTTTTTTCGTGACAACTGTGTGTGGTCATGTAATAGTTATATTAGAGTATTTTCATGATAACTTTATGTGGTCATGTAAGAGTTATAATGGAGTACTTTCGTGACAACTAATGTGGTCATGTAATAATTATGTTGGAGTCTTTTCGTGACAACTGTGTGTGGTCATGTAATAGTTATATTAGAGTATTTTCATGACAACTTTATGTGGTCATGTAAGAGTTATAATGGAGTACTTTCGTGACAACGTTATGTGGTCATGTAACATTGGGGTACTTTCGTGACAACCTTATGTGGTCATGTAATCGTTTATATGGGGAACGTTCGTGACAACTATAATATGTGGCGTTGAGTATAAACTTACTTGTTCACAAAGCTTCACCTTTTCTGTAAACTCTAAGAAGGAATTCAGGAAGTCGTTGACATTGAAAGGATTGTTCTCACAGAAATGATCTCTCAATTTAGCTGATAATTTATCAATTCTCTCTAAACATTCTTCAACATCAGCTAAATCATTTTGAGCTTCCTGAAAAATCCATAACATTTGACATGAAAATTAATGAAGATTTACGTACTACTTTTTCTGCACCATGTGGACTAATAAAGACAGGCAACGCCATGCAGGGTGCTATGAGGGAAATTTTGCCAAGACAAAGGCACTAGCCAACTGTCGAGGGATCTCTAACGTCAACGGGCTTTTTCCAATACATTTGAAATGAACCATGCCGAAAACATATTGCCTCTTGTACTTTGTGATACAAATTCTTCAGAGCATTTCCAAGCTGACAAAATCCAAATGATATGGTTGCATGTAAAGTTCAATTAGATAGAATTGTTTAAGCAGTGGCCAATGAAGGAAATATATTCTATGTGTTCTGTAGTCACAATGGCCTTCCTTAAGTAAACGTTTTATCATTAATCTAGAAATCAAAATTTCGATCCTGACATGGGCTGGAGAGGTTAAAATGTCTTTCATAGTATACAAATAGACGGTGGTACCGTGCTACACGCTCTAAATTAAATCGATTGTTATTCAATATGGAAAATACTGATTACTGCCGCTGTCGTGACAAAATTTCCCAGTCGAACCTTCAATGAGATGTACAAAGGACCACTCTCATCCATGCTTGTAAAACTATTACTAAAATTACCTCTATGAATTCCGCAAAGTGTTTTTGAAGTTCTTCATCAACAACACTCATCGAATGTTCAAATTTATCTATACTTTTCTTAATTTGGAGGTATTCTGCTTTAGTATTCTGTAGTGTGAACCTGTATAATAATGATTCTATGTAAGATCATACAACCCTATCTGTCTCTGGTTGATTAAAATATCAATTTTTAATACTTTCTGTCTATCGTATTTTCTTACGAAACATCTGTCTAACTAACTAGCAGATTGTGACACTATAACATTGAGCAACGTAACATCTCTAAGGAAGGAATATGACACCAATTTTATGTTTTTGACGAAACACCTGCAGATGACTGAAAACAATTCACCTTAAATCGAAAATTGTGTATAGAGCTTAAAAGGATTGTATAGACGTTTTCTAAATTTTGTATGTGTATCGTGGACAATGATAGCATCAATTTGCGTCATTCCAATTTTCAATCAGACGTCTATGGTTCTAGCAATTCTACTAAAACTAAGAGTTTTATCACGTCACCCCCACTAAATTTGCTAACCACAGACGTCTGATTGAAAATGGGAATGGTCCTAAAACGCCAAAATGAATTCAAATTTGTTTGAACTTAACGTTGATTTTTCACTTGATTTTGTAAGATGTTATCAGTGCAATAGAAGATATGTTTGGCTTACTTTGATGCCTTCTGTAACTGTTCTAGCAGCTCGTCAACAAATTTAAGCGCATGTTTATTCTGATTGAGTGCTTCTTCTACCAGATAGTGTAACAGAGACATTCGAGGTACATTGGACTTCACCATTACCAGTTTTGTTAAAGAACTGATTCTAAACCCATACGCTCGACCGGAAGTACAACCCTGAAATGAAGAAAGATCAACAACGTGTTCTTTCTGGTAAGCAGTCATTGTGTATCTAAATGACAACGAAGCGTCTTTTCGGTTCACCATTTTCCGGAATGGATTGGGGTCTTGAATATATGTAAATAGTCCTCAGAACTACTAGATCTGCACGAATATTGCACAATTCCTTCAATAATACCCCAAACTAGAAATTTATCTTTCTATTTCTATATCTTTTGTGTATATATGGCGGTGTCTCAAGAAAAGACGAATGGTCATTACGTGGATAATTCTTGACACACATGGAGTTGAAGACTCAAATAACATCTTTTATGCATTAAAGATATCCAATCATGATTTTTACATATTTCTAGACTGCCTTTTGCAATTCTGTCTGTTATAGACATTCATGTACATGATTGGGCTTAAAATGATACAAAAGTCGACTTCTCAATAATTCTATTCTAAAATAATAATATGTCCACTGTACCTTATTCAAGTAATTTCCAGCATGTAACACGAATCTTAAAAACATTTTTAAAGAGTCACTATGAAGAATTCCTCTACATAATGAACTAAGAAGTTGTATATTGGGTCTAATTCCAGACATCTGTGAATTAAAGTCAACGCGGAGGTTCATACCCTCGACACGAGTATTATAATGAGGTATTTGAATAAGTTCTCTATAAAAACTTTCAGCTTGGCCCAATTTGGTCAGGTCTCCCTCGAAGTTGGTGATCATATCAACCTGAAAGCAAATCATACACTTATATAAATGTGGATACAACATAATAATACATGTAACTTATTAAGAAGCCTTCCTTCCTTCTTGTCATGTTTGTGGTGTATGTTTAACAGCTGTGACGGGAGTGGCGCCAGACAGTGTATGCTTACCCTTCTATTTTATTATGAAATACTTTCTCACTTATTATTGATATAATTCCTCACGTGAAAAGTTCATTAGCAGCTGCCAATGTTTTGCCGGTATGTTGTTTGGATTTGTTTTGTTTTGCGATTCGGATCGTTATCTATTCTGAATATGGTGCTCTCTTTCAGATCGACGTATTCTCATACAGAATTAGATAAGTATTCGTGAACACAATGGTACTGTGCCCTACACTTTCATGATTATTGTCTTTGATAACTTTACTGTCCAAAATATGCTTGTTACTATGGTCATGCATGTACATGGTTGTCTATGGTCAGATTGTTCATTGCGTTTGTAAATGAAAAAATTACATGGTGGAACCTATTCGAATTGGCTCCCTTGTTTGGCATATTTTAAAGAAGAAAAAGCTCTATAAATTTTAATTATATTGAACCACGTTCGTCCTTGGTTACAGCGCATCATTTAATACATAAGACGTTCCTTTATGCCTAGATCATCTGTTGTTTTTTTCATCAGAAATGATATGGCCGTAGAAAACTTTATCAATTTTCAAATTTTCCTGGGAGAGAGAACATCCTTTCCGACTCCAAACCACCCCAACGACCCTCCTCAACAGACCAGGACTGCTGGGACTCGTGGCACACCCTTTGCAGTCATTAAAATGAACCATTTTCTCGGTCTGCAGCAAACAAGGCTTCCCCTTTCGAAGTCTAAACCATAAATGACAAATCGTTAACAATCACCTCTTCTTGAGTTGGTAATATTTTCACCAAGCCTTTTATTTTCTCAGTACCAAGAGCTCTGTTATCACATCGTTTAATAACGTCTGTTAACACATTCCGTTCATTTTTAAACTGCTTTAAAAATATATTAACAATCATACTTCTTTTTGGATCCAATAGAGCTACCTAAAAATAAGAGTAATGATTTTAAGGTTAACAAAATCAATGGAGCCAGTATCATTCAGTTGTTGTCCTTGTTAAATGTGGATTTTCTTTCATCTTTTTCACCAATTATTTGTGCTGCTGCGTTGCAATTGTATAAAAGCTTAAGAATTAAGCTGCATTCTATACACCCATCGTATGTTAATCGTGAACACTGATGGCATCAATTTGCACCATTCTAATTTTCAGTCAGGCGTTTTATGACGCCACTCTCGCTAATAATATCTAAGTGCCTTTGCGATAGTCACCTCATAAAACACCAAGTTTTAGTGAAATTACAAGAACTACAGATTGAATGAAATTTGGAATAACATCAGATTAACAAGTCCAGCTTACTTACCTCCATAGATACTGAATGTCTTTTCAAAGCTTTTTCATCAGGTTTAGCCGTACCGAGGCGATTATTGTCGTTATTGTTGAGAGCAAACAATTCTTCTAGTTTATTGTATCGGACGTCAATCTTATCTTTCATACTAGCAACATCACCCCAAATACTGTTTTCTATAATATAACCATAAACCACACAGTTACAAGAAGTTACAAGAGCGAAGTTGGGACAGTCCAAGGAAATTTTGAAACAATTTTATTGTTTGAGACCTTAACGGTAATACATTGATACTTAATTATAAACCTGAATTAATCCCCAAAAATTTCATTTTGGACCACAGACTTTCATGCATTTAGCAATTACGAATAATAATGAAGACCAGGAGTAATACACCTAAATTCTCAATAATCGCTTATACTAATACCGAAAAAAGTAGACACATTTCTGTTCAAGTTTTGCTAGGAACTCTTTACAATAATTTGACATTTATATATACTCACTCCGTAAACTATGGATAGGAACTTTACTCCAGTTTAATGACTTCATCTTACAATTTGGTTCCGGTGTTTTTATTTCTTCTACTGGAGGAACGATTGGTGCAGCAGGTCCACCAAGACCAGGAAGTTGAAGACTAAATCCAGGCGGTGGTGGAGGAGCACCAGGTGCCGAGGGAGGTGGAGGTGGTGGTGGTGGAGCCATCGGTGACGGTGGTGGTGGAGGGACGGGGATTGAACCACCCGGAAGAGGTGGTGCGGGTGGCGCTGGGGCAGATGCTGACTGTAAAGAGTCTTTTTCGATTTTCCCTGTGTCAGGATGGTTGATGATGACGCCATTTTTACGACGTAAAGAAGATCGTCCTTCAGAAGACAATTCAACAGGATCTGTTTGGGATTCCTGGTTTACCAACTCTTTCTGCCTCCCGTATTTATAATGTGTCTCTTCCTTGGTTTGATTTTCCACACATTGCTGTACTTGTCTTTCTATGTTGATCCACGTTGCTTCACTAGAAATATAACAAAAGACTTAACCCATAATTCTCACCAATCTCATTTTAAGTGAGACGGCCGCCGAAACAAACGACGGCTTGCAACAACAAATTTGTGTCCTTGATAGTGTGGAAAAATAATGTCTGAGGATCGCACAGCGTGAAACTCTTAGTAACAACATGTTTCATCAATAAATTCCAGTATAATCGTTGGAAATCTGACTGATTGCACATATCAATGCTTCTTCTTTTTCGTGGATTTCAGTGTGAAAACTTTTTGGAGTTGGTTAAGCCTCAAGTTGCAAATAACTACAGTATATTGCACCTACATAGGCCACAACCTCTTCCAACAGACCAGTCCTTCAAAATCTTTAAGAGATTGAAATATAAATATTTACCTGTGGGAATGATGGTCATCTATTTGATATAAACTATATAATATACCAATTATTGAACTTTCTATAGGTGTATCTTGATACTACAATAACAATATTATATTGCAATTTCGATCTGGAATTTTTTCAAGACACAGTTCGAATCATGCAAGTTTTCATGTTGGCTACAAGTGTACTGAAAATACATAAGCTCTAGAGACTGTAATCAAAGACATCAAATGCAGTCTGTCAGCAGGGCATCATTTGAAAAATGTTCTAATCAAGATATTTCAAAGCAAACGATATGACACAACATCCAAAAGCCTTTCTAACATGCGATTTCCAAATGTCGGGTAGGGTCATTAAATGTAGCTTTAACATAAATTTGAGCGCGAATCAATTGAAACGGATGTGAAATATCAACAGATATACATAATGTTTGAAATTAGGCTAAACAAATAAAACTGTGAATTATAAATAATGTGAATTATTTCATTACAAAAATAGATATTAAATATATGTGTTATATTGTGTGGAAGTAGTAACATGTGAATCCAGTCAGGGTGTGGGCTGAAGAGAGTATTAGGATGGATTAAACTAATGAATAAATACACAGCACATATTCATAAATATCGCTATAATTGTATCCGAATTCATTGGTAAAAGTAAACATTTTCTTTTTTTCTTAACAAAAGCCCAAGTATAACCATTCCTTCAGCGTCAGCATTGTGAGGTTTTCTTCCACCCTGGGAGATTTTCTAATGTGAAAAGGTGGAGAATACATTCAACACGATGTTGGAAATCAAAGTAGAGTGAATTTTTCATTTTTAATGGCCCAGTGAGGGGGAGAGGGGTTCATGGCCCCATTAGCGCCTAAATACACACTCATTTTCTCTTGAAGAGTCATTTCTACATTACAAAATAACGTGGCACTTTGATTTCTTTGGTCATAATGGTTTATTAAACACCCTCAACAGTCACGGGTCAGTCATGATTCTGTTAAGGTCGATATTATTATCAAACATTCCAATAACTCATCTATATAATTAGTTATATTACATAATGTAGTAGGTTTTGTAGTATTAAATAACGTTAATACGGTTCCTACGGTTCAAGGATAAGCTGATGCGAAACCTTAAACTTTGCATTATATATTTCGTTCGGATGTTTAATTTCCTCACCTTGTTATAAATAGCTGTAAACAAATCACGTGGTTTAGTGATATCAACATCGGAGGTGTTTAATTCTGAAAGAGCATCAGCATCAGCACTTAATTCATCATCAAATACTTCACATTGTACATGTAAATCATCGTCTTCAATATTCCTTAATCCTTGGATTACATCTAGAATATTTAGTGCTGGAATTGAAAGAAAAAATCAGGTTTTAGCATATATAGCATAATATATAAAGTCTCGTTGGATTATTGAAACACGTCTCAGTAAGGTAGTGACGCATATAACATATAACATCAATAATTTTGACCGATGCCTCAGTAAGCTAGCGTGGACGACTCGGTGAATGAACGACACATATTTCAGTAAGGTAGTAAGCTTGCATCACATGTATCAATCAGTTAGAGACTTACGTTTCAATAAGATGGACGACTCAGTAAGCTAGTGACACATATCTCAATAAGCTAGAGATGGACGACTCAGTAATCTAGCGATGGACGACTCAGTAAGCTAGTGACACATATCTCAATAAGCTAGTGATGGACGACTCAGTAAGCTAGCGATGGACGACTCAGTAAGCTAGTGACACATATCTCAATAAGCTAGAGGTGGTCGACTCAGTAGGCTAGCGATAGACGACTCAGTAAGCTAGTGACACATATCTCAATAAAATGGAGACACGTCTCAGTTAGCTAGAAACACATGCCTTAGTAAGCTAACGCTTGATGACTCAGTAAACTAGCGACAGATGTCTCAGTAATCCAACGACACACGCAACTTTGTCACGGGCTCAGATAGGAAGTAGAAGTTCTGTTGTTATGAACTTAAAAGTGAAGGTCGATGTTTTATTATAAGAGTGAAAGCATGATAATGTCAGGTGGCTCAAGTATAAAAATATAAATGTATTTAACAGTAGGAGGGTATAGAGGTAAATATAGCTGGTAGACTTATAACATCATGATAAACAGAGGGTAAAAGGAGGTCGATGTTTTAACTGTAATAAAAAACATATTAAGCCTTGGCTTCCTTCCAGATGAAGTCGTGAAAGTTTGATTAGAAATAAAAACATCTAAAGAGTGGAAAAACTTGGATTGATATTGGCTTCCAAAATTCCAACCGAGGGAATTCTGAGTAGACAAACACAATCGCAGAGGCATTATGGGTGGATTTCGATGAAGACACCCAAAGGGGAACTTTGGTGTGCATGGGCGTACACAAATACAGGGGGAAATGGGATCATTTGACTCAAATTTGATTTACAAATTTAAAAAGTCAAAACATGCAAAACTGGGCATTCTTCTGAATGTTTAGTTTTATCATCGAAACTAAAGTAACTTATTCACGTGTTTTTCAGAATACCTTATTTGGTGGTCAGATTTTCAAAATTTCTCTTGCAACAAACCCCTACACCACCCCTCCCCTGCATAGCTCTTACAGAAAATTATGCGGACGCCCTTGTTGATGGGCTTAAAGCTAATACCAAAATTTCATATATCTATACACACCATAGGGACATATATCATTGTTGAATAAATTTCAACAATTTCGATTTAAAACATTCGAATTCAACTGGCAGAAATTATTTAAAAATAGTGCTGCTGGTACTTACCAATAAATTCGTTTCTAATTCGAATTCGATTGTGAATATTTTCATTCGCTACAATAATTGAATTTATAAAAGCCAACAATGCAACTTTAAATGGCACCAAATCAGCCTGTTTTAATTCTTGAACAATGATACTGAATCTGTATGGTAACTTCTGCCATACCTGAAACACACAACACAGTGGTTATATATTGCTTTGATGGTTTAAATTCGATTAAAACCAACAACTAATATTGTGAAAGTGAAGAAGGCACATTGACTGAACAAAGCATGTTACATTATCAGAGTGAGCATAGATTTTGAGCTGTTTGGATATTGCGAAAGGTATCAGGCCTTGCATCACTCGAAATGTATCCTTTCTTTACCGAAGACAACGACCTGAATTTAAAGGCTTAAGACTTGATAGCTTTTTTTGGAATTTCGCAAAATTTCCACCTTTTGGAATTATTAAAAGTTAGGGTGTGATAAAAGCTATTAAACCTCTTGCATATGGAATTTCAGAATAGTAAAATTACAAAACATGAGTCCTGTCTGTTAGTTAACAATCAAAGAGCAAGGAGAACCAACCGAAAATTTCCACAGCAAGCTTAAAGAAAAGACACATCGGCCAGATTAATAAGGATCTATTCTTTCACCGCACGCAGTATGTAATATCAACGAAACTAGGTGGCAAAAACCTTTAACGTTTTGAACTAAAGTAACCTTTTGTAAATAAACTTTAAGTGTAGGTATTAAATATTTAAATAGTAAGTGAACATTTTATTAGAAACTTATTTAACTTACATTCTTTAACTCTTACTAACAATTTCTTATCTTTCTATAGGCTTTAGAAATGAAATTTAACTAGGAACCACATCATGATTTGTTTTAAACTTTCGATGTAAAAACGGTTTTTGTGCATAGATCGAGTAAATATAAAATGTTCCTGTATATTGAAATTTGAAACGGGCGATATCAAAATACTTTTTCAAGGAAGAAAATTAAATATTTATTAATATAGTCTGTGCTTTTACTATTGGTTGGGTCTGATCGGTTAGTGTAAATTATGATAAATTTAAGGCACCATCAGATCAGGATTTTACTGAACACAATTTGTAGAAGAATTCCATAAGATCATTAAAAAAAACCCCACAAAAATCTAGATTTACAGAATTTATTTCGCAAGATTTGACATAACAAGAAATGCCAATTTAATATCAATAATATAGATTTTCAATCAAACTAAGACCAAAACAATATATCATTCCAAATTCCAAGTAATGGCATCAGATATGGCACGTCATAGAAAACAATGGGTTTCCCCTATAAAAAAAAGTTCTTACCTTATATCTATCAAGAGCTTCTAGAGTTAAGTAAAAACCCTCTATTGAATATAGACAGAGTGCTGATAATAATTCAAATATCTGCATCTTGACCATCATATTATTGGTCTTTAATGCTGAAAAAAAGATTTAAAATTTGTATAATGACAATCGTCAAAATATTCGCCCCACTGAAGAATCTAAATCCCAGATGGCGTAAATAGTGGAATAAAGTAACCTGATAAAGTGATTTGACAGGATAAAGTAACCTGGTAAAGTTACTTGAGAGCGAGATAAAGTAACCCGATACAGTGATTTGACAGGATAAAGTAACCTGGTAAAGTTACTTGAGAGCGAGATAAAGTAACCCGATACAGTGATTTGACAGGATAAAGTAACCTGGTAAAGTTACTTGAGAGCGAGATAAAGTAACCCGATACAGTGATTTGACAGGATAAAGTAACCTGATAAAGTTACTTGAGAGCGGGATAAAGTAACAACTGATAAAGTGATTTGAGAGCGAGATAAAGTAGCCCAATAAAGCAACTTGAGGGTAAGATAAAAAAAAAAGGCTTCATAAAGCAGCTTGTGGATACGATTAAGTGACTTGATAAGGTGACTTTGCAGTAGAATACAGTGACTTAGTGATAGAGGGATATAGTGACTTGATAAAGTGATCGGGATAAAGCGTCTTAGAGCTGGATTAAATGATTTGAGAATGGAGAGCGAAATAAAGTGACTTGATAGTGTGACTAGAGAGGGGGATATAGTGACTTGAACGTGTGTTTTTAATCATGACTATATTTTAGATCCTGTACTCTGTAACTTGTGAACGTGTTTCGCTCAATATAATTCTAATGTAATGGCCGCAAAGAATCCATCTGAATGATTTTAATTGCTCATTANATCCCTAATTAGATTATTAACGTATCGATAGATATCTGATTAACACACAAACCTATATATACCAATAAATAACAGGTCATGACC